TGCTAGGCACTGAGAGCTCCAAGACAGAATGGAACAGTCTGTCTTCATAGACTGCCCTATCTATTTTGGTGAAACACTGATAAAGAAATTATATATATATATATATATATATATATATATATATAAAGAAATTATATATATATATATATGTATGTATGTACACACATATTTATATATATATATATGCACATATGTATGTATGTGAACTCATTTCCGAATAAAGGGAGAACATTAAAAACTGGGGAGTCAGGGGAATCTGGAAAGGCCTTGTATAGAAGCTGATTTGTGCAGGGAGATAGAGGTTCCAACAGGCAGAGATGAGAAAAAGGAGCATGGGAATAGCCTGGGCAAAGTCTTAGAAATGGGAAAGAATTATAACAGCTTACATTAATGTAGCATTTTAAGTCTTATAAAATGTTTTGTGTCTATCATCTCTTTGAGCCTTGTGATAACCCTGCTTTTCATCACCTGCAATTTATAGATGAGATCACTGAGGCTTAGAGTGGGTATGTGACTTGCCCCAGACCACACAGCTAATAGTGTTTGAGGTGGGATTCAAAATGAAGTCTTCTAGGACTCTTCATCTGGTCATCCATGTACTCTATCAGGATGTCCCTATGAAATGGCACGTTCAGGGAACAGAGATTCATAATTATAGCTGACATTGGTAGATATGATTTCATACCTATATATTTATATGTGTGTCTATGTTCACACATGTACATATATACACATATATAATCTAACTGAATGATCTTCACACCACTTAGAGATAGGTAGGCAGAGTAAATCTTTACCCTGTTTTCTGATGAGGAAACTGAGGCTGCAGTGTAAATCTTTGGCACCTGTGAATTTTGTTATAAGGGACTGGGGAGGCGAGGGAGAGGGATATAGGGGGATATTTAGTCTATGTCAAGACCAATGATGGATGTCCTTAAAATTGTATTTTCTGTTAAAAAAAAAAGAGGTAGCTGTGGTATGGAGGAAGGAGCCCAGGGTTTGGAGTTCAAATCCCCACTTCGCCATTTAGTCCTGAATCAAGAGTTAGGTGCCATTGGACAGCCATGATTTTGGGGAGTTCATATGCCCCTCTGGGTCTGTTTCCTTCTCTGTAAAATGAGCAAGTTAGATGAAATCAGTAGTTCTTAACCTAGCATCTGTGAACTTGGTTTTTTAAAACTATATTTTGCTAACTGCATTTCACTGTAATGAGTTTCTTTTGTAATCTTCTGTATTTTATTTTATGCATTTAGATACATTCTGAGGAGGGGTCCCTAAGCTGCTACCAAAGGGTCCAGGGCACCAACAAGGTGAGGAACCCCTGGACTAGATGACCTCTGACTTCCCTGCTATCCAGAGATCTCATGACTTTCCCAAGTTCAAACAGCCAATGAAAAGCAGATAAAGCACGATCCCCAGAGCCAACCTGGGGCTTCTGAGTCTGCCTGCACTACATTGCCTTTCAGGAAGGTAAGAATTAGTAGATGGCCAAGTACAAGATTTGATTAAGTTGCTGGGAAATTTGGAGAGGAAGGGAATCATCACTTAGATTGTTCCTGCTATGTGCCAGGCACCGAAGCACATTTTACAAATATTATCTCATTTGATCTTCACAACAACCCTGGGAGGTAGGTGCTATTCTTATCCCCAGTTTACATATTAGGAAACTGAGGCAGGCAGAGAGAAGTTAAGGGAATTGCCTATGGTCCTGCATCTAATAAGCATCTGAGGCTAAATCTGAACTTAGGTCTTCCAGACTCCAAGCCCAGTGCTGTATCCACTTTGCCATCTAGCATTCACAGACATAGACTCAAACCTCCATGAATTTAGACACACAACTATGAATATGTTATAATAATAATAATAATAATAACAATAACAACTAACATTTATATACCACTTACTATGTGCCAGGCACTGTGCTGCCTTACAATGATGATCTCATCTGATCCTCACAACAATCCTGGGAGGTAGGTGCTATTATTATCATCCTCATTTTAACAGATGAGGAAACTGAGGCAAAGAGGTAAAGTGACTTGCACAGGGTCATACAGCTAGTAAGTGTCTGAGTCAGGATTTGAACTCAGGTCTTTTTGATTCCAAGCCCATGCTTTAGGCAAGAGCACTGGATCAGGAGTCAAAAGAGTGGGATCTGCCACTAATTAGCTAAATTACCTTGGGAAGCCATTTCCCTTTTCAGGGCCTCAGTTTTCTCATCTGTTAAATGGCGATCTCTAAGGACCCTTCCAGCTCTGACATATACAATTGTACACAGAGGAGCCTCACCCAGCTGTCCCCATGTCTACCCTAACCCTCCCCTCATAAAAGGGGTTCCCTCCTTCCTTTTCAGGAACATCCCTGACCGGGGGCTTTGATTCTAAAGGACATGGACATGCAGGCAGAAAACAACCTGAATTTGAGTCTCAGCTGAGAATTTGATGTCTCTATGACCTTTCTTATTCTGGGCCTCAGTTTCTTCATTTGTAAAATGACAGAGTTGGATTAATGATCTTTAAAGTCCCTTCCAGTTTGAAATCCCACAGATCTGATCTTTAAGTATTTTCCCCATTTCTGCTACTCCCTCTCATTGCCTCTACCCCTAAGCTGAAAAAAAAAGTGGCCTGAGGACAGCTGGAATCTGACCCAACCATCCTGGGGCCCCAAGCCTTGTCATAGGGATGTGGAGGGAAGGCCATCACTGATGGAGGAGGGGGGAGGGGGTCAGAACTGGGAGAAGGGCTTTGATGGGGTGATTTTTCCGGGGTTGTCTACAGTTTCCTTCTCATATGTAAAATGTAGGGGTGGTATTAGATATCTAGTTTGGGGTCTTGTCCAGCACTAAAACTGTCAAAATCTTTTGACAGTAGGATGCTCTCACTTGTGGGGTGCCAGGGAGGGTCATTAAGGACAGACTGGAAGTCAATTCAATAAATATTAGTTGAATCGAATTGACAGAGGGATGGGGGGGAGCCCGAGGTCACAGTGACAGTGGCATGCCGAGAGGGTGATACACACCCTGGGACACATTCCCGGAGGGGCGGGGTGTCACACTCACGGGACTCCAGCAGATGAGATGGTTCGTCTCGGGGTCCCCCACCAGCGTCCACAGTTTGGTAAGGAAGGCAGGCACAGGGCTGGGGTAGCCGTCCATGGCCACGGCGGGGCCCCCAGCGGCCTCCTCTACGCTTTGGGGGACAGTCCTCTGCATCAGCACCCAGCGCTCTTCCCAGCTCAGCACTTCGGGGCGGCGTGGCTCAGCCCGGCCCCGCCCCGGGGACAATGGTCTGGGGACAGCAAAGTGCTGCGCACCGCGAGCGGCCTCCCAGAGCCCCCGTCCCCGCCCCTGCCCCGAGACCGGATCAGGCGGGGGGCCACGTGCTCCCTGCCCCGGCAGTCCCGAGAGGGTGGCGGGGCGCACTCAGCGCCCGGCACGGCCTGGGGACTGACAGACGTGCAGGACACGGGGTCAGAGGCTCCAGGCTGGAGGGTGGGCAGAGAGAAGGGGGTGGAGGTGGGGGAAGGACAGTAAGGAGTGTGCCAGCGTGAGTGAGTGTGCAAGGAAGGGAAATAGTGAGGACCAAAGCTGAGAATGTGGGTAGCGAAAATTGCACACTGAACCCGGGAGCCAAGGATCTTGATTTCTAGTTGGAGTTCTGCCATTTATTGGCCACATGACCTCGGGCAAGTCCCATAAGCTCTCCGTGCCTCAGTTTCCTCCTCAGTAAAATGGGATAATTCATGTCCTTGACCCCTTTGGCAATCAGAATCAGGTTTTTAAATAAGTAAAATTAAATACATAGAATTAGAAAGGAAATCAATTATCTTGAAATAATTACAAAAATATTTTTTAAAAAATATGCAAGTTCAAGAACCAAAGGCTAAGAACTCTTGGTCTAGACCAATTACTTTATTTTACAGAAGAGGAAACTGAGGCAGTGAAGTCACTTGCCCAAAGGACACACAGCTAAAAAGTGTCAGAGCCCCAAAGTCTCTTGTTTTTCTGACACCAAGTGTATATTTGCAATTTTAAAGGATGATAGCAGGAGATGGGTTTGTAAACAGTAGGACTACCAGGGACCTGAGACATCCTCTCGTCTGAACCCCTCATTGGAGAAACTGTGGGCCATATCAGTGGCAAGGATGAATAAATAGTGTAGGACCCACAGCTCTGGGCGTGAGATGAATGGAGACCAGTAAAAAGAATGAAGGCTGAGCAGAAAAAAAGATGCAGTGGGGCAAGTGTTGTACCCTTCCCTTCAAAATTAGGGCTAAAAAAATTGGGGGAGGGGTGGGCAGCAGACTGACCCATACATACTTCAATACCCAGGCTTCTCAGGGTGTGGACCCTCAACTCTGCTGTTTAAGAGAAGACCTCTCTCCTTCCCCCATACAATTCAGGGGTTCTTGGGATGACTGATCTATGGCACTCTCTCCCCCTGGGGAAAGTGCCAACAGTGCAAGTTCTTCCTGGGGGGAGCCAGTCTCAACCCTTCCCTTACCCCTCTCCCACAACAGACCTTATCCAAAGGCCTGCCCACCTTTCCTTCTCTTGGACACCAAGGAAGATCCTGCTCCCCCTCAGGTTTGGGAAGGACCCCTACCCACATGCTCTTTCCATCTGTGCCCTCTGCCCACTTTTTTAAAAAAATAAAGCACTCCCCCATTGAGAGCCCTCCACCAAATCACAGAGATTTTCCTGACCTTAACTTTCCCATAATTAACTTGATTTACAATACATTTTCTTCCAAACAGTCCTCTGAAGTAGGTAGGATAAGTATTTTACTGAGTGGAGGAAACTGAGTATCAAAGAGATGGAGTGACTTACCCAACAGGGCTGTACCCAAGTCTCCTCTTGCTTAAAGTCCAGTGTTTTTTTCTACTACTGTGTGGTGCCTCATGCAACCCAGCCTCCAGCAGCTGGGACCAGCAGAAAGCAAAACACTTTGGAAGACCTTAATGATGCCCTCCCTTTGACCACGTTAAAGCAGAGAGTACTCCCATCAATATTTCCATAGCCCCTGATCTGGATCACTCTCAATCAGAGTCAATTAAAGACTACAGAGAAAGTTTGTAAATTCCCATGTGTGAGACTGCCCATCAGGGTTAGAGTCCTTCATGTATGATCTCATTAAAATACCTATGGGCCATGGAAAGTAGAATTTTCTGACTCATTGCACAGGCATCCCCCCTTCCTCCTTCCCTGCACCCCGGGTATCTGCCTATATGTCCTCCCCCTGGTCTCAGTTTTGTTCTCTTACCCCTCTGAAAATCGAACTCTTGGAGAGCCCAGGATGCAGAGACACTGATTAATGTAACAGTTGAAAAAATCATTCGCTCTCTTCCTTGTTTAATGAACAAAGAAACTGTAGACCTGGGAGGAAGGTGACTTGTCCAAGGTTGCTAGTGAATGACAGACCTAGTCCTTGTGACTCCTAAGCTAGTGCTTTTACTTTAAGGATGTTGGTGTGTAGTCTTGTCTGTATGTCTGAATGTGTGTGGGTGTGTTTGTGCATGTGTATGTACACCACATCTGGGTCACAGAAGAAGGACACATAGATTTGAATACAGGAATTGTGTGGCTATAATTCATTCCAGTGTTCTTACCACTACACCTCACTGCCTCTCAGGACCCAGTAGAAAGGGAGGGCTTCTGAACTAGGGAAGAGGATATTCTGTTGAGAAACCTAGCTACTGGGAGATTCTAGGGCCCAGGTCTTAGAAAATCATATTGCCTGAGATGGTGTCCACCTCAGCAGCTCCAGTTCTCTGGCACCTATTCGTGTGGTTGTGGGCGACTTGAATCTTCTCTCTAGATCCCATCTATAAAATGGGGGAGCTGGACTAAGTGGTTTCTGAATCTCCCCCCACCCCCATCCCAGGATGTGACTTTTTGTGGTTCTAACCCCATATGTACTCATAGTAAGTACTTAGACACAGATATGTCCCTCCTCTTGTTCTTACAGCTGAGGGTCCTAAAATCCACGAAATTGGATTAGCATGTCTGCCTCCCCCTCAGCGAAGATCCTGGGATTTAAAACTGGAGGGGATTTTAGAAATGAATTAATCCAAACCCCTTCTTTTCAGAGAAGGAAAATGAGGCCTAGGGTAAGGAAAGAACTTGCCTTAGGTTACACTGCAAATAAGAGGTAGAGGTGGGTTTGAACTTGACTTCTTTCCACCACAACGTGCTGTATAGATTAGCTCTAGGGTTAGGAAAGCCGCGGTGCTGATTCCGCGGTTCCTCTCAGCCTGGGGTTGAAGCTTGTCACCTGACAATCTTGGGCCGCCAAGGGTGCGGCTCCCCAGTGACCTTGAGCGTGTAACTGCGGAGGCAGGGGCAGTGGGTGAGGAAGGCGCTCACTACAGAGGGCGCCACCACACAATAGCAATGCACCTCCCGCAGGTGGCCGCAGCCCCGGGCCAGCTCCTCCAGCGCGGAGTTCAGGGCGGCCGAGGCTGTGGCGCGCACTACCAGGGCTGTCAGGGTGGCAGCGTAGTGGTGGCCTGCGAGGCGCACTGCGTCAGCTACCTCGCCGAACGTGTTGAGCCTCAGTGTGCTCACGGGGATGGTGGGCTGCAGGACGAGGGTGATCCGCTCATCGGGCACCGTATGGTCCAGCTCAAGGTCTACCGCGAGCCCCGGGTGACGCCTTCGGGCCGCGGCCCACGCGTCGTCGGGTATGTCCTCGGCGTACTTGTCTAGCCGGGCGCAGAACACGGCCAGGTGCTGGAAGGGCGGGCGGCCCGACTCGGCCAGGGTGGCCAGCACCTGGGTTGACAGGCTGGCGTAGTAGAGACCGAGCGCGCACAGGTGAGGGCAGGCGGCCAGGACGGTGCGCACCGTCTCTGGTCGCACGTTGCACACCAGAGTCCTATTGTTGAGGAAAAGACCTCGGAGCTCCGGGCAGGCCTGCGCCACCTGCAGCACTAATCCGTCGTCCAGGGTGAAAGGCATGCTTCGGAGATCCAGCTGTCGGAGCGCACACAGGCCCGGTGGCCCTGCTGCGCACACCTGGAGCAATCCATTCAGGATGTCTTGGCCAGAATAGAAGAGCGGGTTCTCGCCTCTGCAAACAATACGCAGCCCCTGCAGGCCGGGGCCCTGCTTGGCCAAGGCAGTTAGGAGCTCCGTTGCTGCCCGCCGGCTCCCCTCCTTGGACGGGTCAAATTCCAGTCCCAGGTGGCGGATCTGACCCAGGCAGGGGGACAGACAATTCAAAGCAGCCTCGTCTGCCTCCAGTTCGCAGCTTTCAGGACAAAACAGAGGGGAAAATTTATCAACGGGGCTGCAAAGGCAGAGCTCATAGTTGTCCCTCTATGTTCCACTGTGCTCCTAGCTCTCTATTTCCATCCTTCCCACCTCAGCTACTTCAGGGTCTCAGCAAGGGGCTTGCCCAAGGCAATTGCTGAGCTGTCAATGAAATAAACTCGCACTGGGATGGACGTGTGCACCTCTAATCTGCAGGGGAAAAGACCAAGGCTTCCTCCCCTAAACCAGCTTGATGGCCTGGCCTTATCTGGTCTAACCTTTCCAAGTCCTAACTCTCATATGACTTGACACACCAAGAAGGATTAGCCCCTGGGACATAGTTTTAGGCTGAAGAACTCATAAATAGATAAACCACCTGTTTCATTGTAAAAAGAAATAGTTATTACTCTTTCAAAAATGCCTTACATTATTACTGTGGGTACTCCCTAGTATGCTCATGCAGAGAGTAGCCCTTCCCTGCCTCAGCAGACAGGCCTTCAGGATTAGCTATGGCAAAAACAAACAAACGAATGAATAAAAAAAATTTAAGTAAATAAATAACAATAATCACCCAGCAGTCAACCTTCTCCTGAAGTCCCCAACTCACTCCATACATCCATTTTGTTGCCAAATCTCGTCCTAACTTTACAAACTCTTTCATATACTTAGTTGTCCCCTTCTCTCTACTGACAGAGCCATAGTTGTTTCTGGCCCTCATCACCTCACCCCAGATCTCTCCCTAGTCCAACCCATCTTCCATTCAGCTGCTAAGGTGATTCTCTAATGGGTAGGCCTGACTATGTCAACCCCTCTAACCTGCCTTAGCTCTAATGGCTCCCCCAAGGTCAAATATAAACTTCTCTATTTGTTCATAAGCTGGCGCCTCCTTACAGTTTCAGTTTTTTCACACATTACTCCCCTCTGTAGATACTATGATGAAGCCAGATTGTCATGTTTACTGTTCCTCACACAGGATATTCTTATCTCTCATCTCCTGGCTTGCCTTTGCACTGGTTGAGTACTCTGCCTTCTCAACTTGGCCTCTGAGGTTCCCTGGCTTCCTTCTAGACTCAGCTCAAAACCTACTTTCCATAGGAGGCTTTTCCTGGTCCCCCAGGCTATTAATGCCTTTTCCTCTCAGAATGCTTTCCATTTATTCTGCATATAGGTTGTATGTGCCTGGTTATTTATATATTGTCTCTGCCATTGGAATGAGAGGTCTTTGAGGGCAGAGACTGTTTTTGCCTTTTTTTTTTTTTGTACCCTGTAGATGCTTAATAAATGCTTGTTGAATCACAAAGAAAAATTACTCTAAAAGACTGGAGAACTTTGATCAAATCAATGACCAATTCTCATTCCAGAGGACTGATAAGGAAGCTTGCTACTCATCAATTGACAGAGAGGTGATAGACTCAAGATGCAAAATAAGGCATACATTTCCCTACAGGACCAATGAAGGAATGTGTTTTGCTTGACAACAAATATCTGTTACTAGGGCTTTTTTTTTCCCATTGGGAGTGGGGTGGGAGGTTGAGGGGAGATAGGGATAGGAGGGAGAAAGAAAGAGAAAGGGAGGAAGGAAGGAAAGAAGGAAGCAAAGAGAGTTTTGAGGCAGCTTTTTTTTTTTAATGGAGAAAGGAAAAACAGAAGGAAGACCAGAAAGAAGTCCAAAGGAGCAGGACAAACTCAAAAGCTACAGGTTGAATTTAATGTACACATTTAAAAAAAATCTAGCTACATATATAAAGACCTGCATAATCTCCTTTTTCTGATTTACTATGTATACACAAATTCTGATTTACTATGTATACACAAATTCTGATTTACTATGTATACACAAATACACATTCAATTTGGCATTGGTTAAATTAAAGCTCAGGATAAAAAAAAAATTTTAATTTTTAATTAAATGCTATTAGCTTCTGGCCTGATTGGCTCTGAGCCCTTTCTTATTTAGCTACATTTCAAAAGAATGCAAACTCTTTGAAGGGTAAAGACCCCTCCTTCTTCCTCCCTCCCTCCTTTTCTTTCTTTCTTTCTTTTTTCTTTCTTTCTTCTTCCTTCCCTCCCTTTTTCCTTCCTCCCTTCCTTTCTTTTCTTTCCAAGACCTGACACATGGTAGGCATTTAATAACTGCCTGCTGAACTGACGCCAAATGAATTAATTAGCTAGGTTAGGCCTTGGACAACCAAAAAACCACTGGGCAGGTGCTTGAAGCCCTTGCAGATTGGCCGGATCTGCTACTGTATGCTCATTATCTTCAGGCATAGCCTTCTAGGGCGTGAGGTTTGAGGCCCAACACCTTCCTCCCTCCATATAGCCAAGTCAGTAAGCTTCCCCCAAGGCCTTCTCTCTCCTACGTGAAGGCAGGACATAGGAGGTGAGGGGTTAGAGAGCCATCTCTCCATCCCTGGTGTCTGAGCAGGCATGAGACAGGGCTTTAGGGTGACGCCTGTGTTATTAGTTTGCTGAATGTTTACAGTATTGTAAAACTTTTCAGTGGACCCTAGGGAGTGGCCCCACTTCCTCAGGGGTAAGAGTGGAAGCTGGCAGCTATCTAAGCATTAGCCAAGAATGCTGGGAAGTGGGTGGAACTGATAAGCCTGGGCTGGCTACCTTCTCTCACAAGTAATCATTAATGGGACTCAGTCACTTCATCTGAAAACTAAAGTGCTAGAACTGGTCCTTTGCTATCAGTTTGAATTTGCCCCATGGCTAAGATGCCCTGGGACATCAGTTAAGTTTAATAATAATAATAATAATAATAATAATATTTCTATAGCTCTTCAGGGTTTATAAAGCACTTTACAAATATCTCATTTAATCCTCACATCAACCCTATATAGCAGGTATTATTATTATTATACCCTTTTATAGACAATGAAACTGAGGCTAAAATAAGGTTAAGTGACTTGCCCAGACCCACACAGTAGTAAGGGTCCAAGGCCAGATTTGCACTTAGGTCTTCTTGACTGCAGGCTCAATGCTGTCTCCACCTGCCACCTGGGTGCTTTTGGGGTTTAGAACTCTTGAAAGGAAGGGGCTCCTACTGTGGGGAAGGCAGGAATGGGTCCTTACCACTTCCTTACCTGATATCTGTGATGTACCACACAGAGCTTGAGTTGACAGCAGTGGCCCAAGCCTGGCAGACTTGGGAAACAGAATATCGGTCACGAAGGGGTAAGTATCTGAAGATCAGTGACAGTATTTCTTCAGGGAGGTATTTCCACGGTTCAGCCATTGAGAAGATGGTTGAACTCCACAGGATCCCAGTCTGCCAATCCTTGCTGCAGTGCAACTGGAGCTGGTCTGATGATAGAGACCTGGGCATGACTCAAAGAGAAAGAACCACCCCCTCAAGGAACTCTCCCCCTGCTCCTACTCAGTGCCTTGCATGGCTGGGGAAACTACCATAGGGTGGGGGTTTCCATGAGAACATAAGCCTGGATCCCTGAGAACAGACCTTGGTTCAGCTCAGTATCTTCCTGTGATAACTGTGTGATAACTTTCCTTGTAGATTTCTTTAACTTTCAGCATGTGCCTTCTCACAGGGCAATACATTCCATATGCTTCCCCCTCTCAGTGTTAATATGGTCAGTCTCTCATTTTTTTAGAGATTATATTCATACAGCAAACATGAAAAAATTTTAAAAAGTTGGACTGGAAACCAGCAGTTCTTAACCAGAGGTCCATAAATTTGATTAAAATTTTAAAATAAACATTTTAATATAATTGGCTTCCTTTGTAATACTAAATATTTTATTTTATGCATTTAAAAACATTCTGAAGAGTCTTTAGGCTTCCCCAGACTGCCAAAGGGTTGGGCCATTACACAGAAAGGGTTAAGAACCTCTGGGACTTTTAAAATTCCTCCTAGCTCTAACATTCTATGTATTATGGTCTAACATTCTATGTTATAAGATCTTTTCCAGCTCTAACATTCTAGGTGCCCCCCTCCAACCCTTCCCACTTCCAAACCTCCCTATTAATATGGAGAGCATCACTTCTCTGTGCTCACCTGTCCCTCAGGCTCACAACATATACGTAGTTCTGGATTCTTCACTTTCACCCTCACCGTCTCTCCTTTTATCTAACCTGTTGCCAACACATCACAGATATCAACACCTTTACAACATCTCTCAAACACACCCCCTTGTCTCCTCTAACACTGGCACACCTCTAATGTAGGCTCTCATCCCCTCATGCCTGGATTATTGCAATAGGTCTGCCTACCATAAGTCTCTCCCATGCTCTTGTTCTTCCTAAAGCACAAGTCTGACCACGTTACACCTCTACTCAATAAACTCAGTGGCTCTATCAAGGCCAGAAGCAAATACAAAAATCTTCCGTTTGACATTCAAAGCCCTTCATAGCCTAGTCCCTCCTCCCTACCTTACCTTTCCAGCCTTCTTACATTTTACACCACTCTCCCACCTCCACATAATCTGTGATCCAGTGACACTGTTTACCTTGCTGTTCCTTGAACCAGACACTCCATCTTCGGGTTCCTGACATTTTCACTGGCTGTCTCCCATGTTTGGAATGCTCTGTCTCCTTATCTCCTCCTCCTGGCTTCCCTGGCTTCTTTCAAGTCTCACCTAAAAACCCACCTTCTACAGGAAGTTTTTCTCAATCCCTCTTAACTGTAGTGATGAATCATTTCCCATTCGTCTTGTACACAACTTGTTTGAATATGTTTGCTTGTTGTCTCCAGCATTAGGCTTAAGTCTTTGACGGACTGTCTATTGTCTTTCTTTTTCTCTCCAGTGCTTAGTACAGTGCCCAGCACATAGTAGGTGCTTAATAAATGCTTATCGACTAGTCTGAAACTGGTCAAAACTAGGTGTTTTATAGCTCTGCCATTCACATTATGCCAAATTGTGTTCATTGCCCTTAGTGTGTGTGTGTGTGTGTGTGTGTGTGTGTGGAGAGAACACACTCTTATCTCTGATGTCTTTCTCATCTTCTATTTCCATTCAGACTGCCTGTCATTAGGACAGTACTCAGTCCTTCCCAACCTCACAGCCCAGGGCGAAGTCTGAAGGGCCAATCACCTTCTTTCTTGCCCTCGCTCCTGCAAGACGCCTTTCCCCATCTCCCTTAATGCTGGTGCCTTCCGACCAAAATTACCTCTTATTCAGCCCGCATGTAGATGGTATGTACTTATTTGTTTGAATGTCGTCTCCTTCGTTAGAATGTGCGCTCTTTGAAGTCAGGAACTTTTTCCTTTTCTTTGTATTCCCAGAATTTAGCACAGTGTCTAACACACACAGAATGTTTAATAAAGGCTAGAGGATTTGACTTTACTCTCCTTTCACCCGCCCAACCCCACCCCTTCCTCATACCCGCGATAATTATAAAGATCACAATCAACTTTCTCACTTCTGGCCCAGGATAAATTCGTCTCTCGGCCTCGGGATCCTGGGCACAGCCAAAACCCGGGCCTGAGAGTCGCTGACCTTTGGGCGCTTCCGTCCTTTGGGACGGGGAGACTGGACCATACCCGAGGCCGTGGCCTTCCGGCTTTTCCTCCACCTCTGTGGGCTTTCTCAGGATTATATTTTGCATGGAACTTCGAGGCGGGCGACCACTTGGCCTACGTCGCAGCGCAGGTCATTTCGAGGCCGGGGGGGTCCTGGCTAGGATCTGCGGAGTTCAGTAGTCCAGGGACCTAACTTGGGGTGGGGCTTTGGGGACTTTTTCACCACATTCACCGTCGCCTCAACGCCGACTCGGTAGCTCCCGGAGCCCCTGTAGAATCCAGGGAACCCTGGACTCACTCTCTTGGCTACACCGTGATCCTGACACGGTTTACCAATGTCACCCCTTGAATCTGGCAGTCCTTTGAGTTAATAGAGCCTCTTTTCCACTTATACCCACCACCTTGCGGCAGTAAAGGAGTTAAATGAGTAGGGTTCTAGAACCCCGAGTAGAGACGTGAATGGTTCATTCAAATCAGCTGGGGACTAGTAGCCAATCACCAGACTGGGCGGGGCCGAGCCCAGCTGAAGCTGCGGGATAGAGGCTGGCGGGTCTACTACTCTGGGTGCCCCAGGCATCAATCAGGTGTCTGCAGACCTCTGTGCCTCGCAAGTGTTCCCCTCTGATCCTACAGTCATCAACCCCGGGGATCCCTTCTTTTGGGGAGCAGGAGGCTTTATCAATTGTTTCCGTTTCTGGGGAGTCTCTCCTCCGCCCTTCGTCCTCTCAATCCTACAGCTCTGGGAGGTGGTGGAGGCTAAAGTGTCCTGGGACAGACCCGCAGGTTGAAAGCTGGGTGCGGCCGGGCTTGGAGGCGGAGGTGACAGCTGGACCTGGGAAGTCCCCACCTCCTTCCACCCCCAGGAACGGGCAGTTTGAGGTAGTGGAAACCTTGAACTCAATGCCAGAGGACCTGGTTGGAAATCCTGTCTCTGACACTAAATGTGGGTCTGCAAGTCACATCGCCACATTTCCTCAGCTGTGGAGATAATATTTGCGCTACCAATTCCAGTCGCTTTGTTAGTTTTAAAACTCTAAGGAAATGGGGACTGCCCCAGCTGCCACCAACCATGTCTCGAACTTTTCCCACCCAGCCCTGCCCCATACTATCTTTCGTCCCCACATCTTCTTTTCAAAGTCCAAAGTGTGAGGCATAGAGTGGGGTGGGTGAGGTGTTCGTTCGGAGGCGGGTTCCGCCTGAGCCACGTAACCTAGGGACACTAAGTCTCCATCACTCCCCAAAGGCAAACTGAACATGAATCTCCATCCTGTGGATCCCCTTCTCCTTCCTCCACCCCCGCAGGTAGGGGTCCTAATAGAGGACAAATAATAAGCCACAATTGTTCAACTTTCCTCACAACAACCCTTAGGCGCTAGCCAGAGCCAGGTGATATAGTGGATAGTGGTTGACGGCGTCAGAAAGGTCTGAGTCCAAATCCTGCCTCCAATACATACTAGCAGTGTGACCTTGGGCAAATTACTTAACCTCTCTCAGCCTCAGTTTCTGCGTCTGTAAAATGGGAATAATAATAGCGCCTATTTCGCAGAGCTGTTGTGATCAAATGAGGTAATACGTCAAGCCTTTTCTAAATCCGAAAGCGTAATATAAATGCTGGCTATTATTACCCTTCGTTTGCAGAAGAGGAAAAAGGCTGAGAGGAAAAGTAATTATCAAGGCGGCACACAAGTAGAGACTCAGACACCTTCTGATTCCAAGCCAGGGCTCTTCCCAGCACTGCCTGTGCCCAAACCTTCCTCAGACCCCTGTGAATATTACTCACCCCTTCCAGCTGAGAAGTTCTTCTTGCCAGCTAATCCGGATCTGGATGTTTCTTACCTGCCCCAGCGCGCGGTCCTCGGATCTCGAGCTGAAAGGGTTACTGGGATCCCTGAATTTCCAGGGCCGGCTAGACTGACTCAGGGATGGCTGACTCATGGAAGCTTAGGTTGGTCCGTAGACTTGGATCGGGCTGGGTAGGAGGAAGGACCCAGGCCCCAGGCCCTCAGACCCATCCATTACGTAGCTCCGCTCACTGCGCTTCTTAACTGCCCTCGTTGCTCGCCAGGGGCGGCCTCCGCCGCGGAATTCGGGGGATCCCGGGGCGGGGAGCCAGCTCTGTCCCTCCCCTTCTCTCTTCTTCCTCCTCTCTGCTCCCCCTCCCCTTGGGCTCTGCGCAAACCCGGAAGAACGGGTGGACAGAACCGGTGTCTTCGAGAACCGGAGCAGCGGGGACCGGACGGCTGGGTTAGTGTCCGCGGGGAGCTTAGTTGGGGAGGAAGCACGGCGCGAAGAGGGGAGAGGCGGGGTGGGCAGAGGCCAGCGGGCCGAGGGCACTATGGCGCAGGTCTGGGGTCCTCCTGCCAGGTTTGGCCTGGTTAGAGGAGCCAGGCATGGGCAGGGTCCTGAGCTGGGGGTAGGTGTGGAGGGGTGTGTGCATCGGTCCCGGGCGGGAATTGGACTGAGTAGGACACCTAGGGGATTCAGGCCAACTCCCTTGGCCTCCAGCTTTCTTTCATCTCTTCCCTTCTCTCTCTTCTCCTGTCTCCCTTCTCTCTCGGGCTGGCTTGGGCTGGCCAGGGCTAGGGCCGGGCCCCACGTGGGAGACATTGTTCCGAGCCTCGGCCTTCCCTCCTTGGGGTACGGTTTCGTTGGGCAGCTGGAGTTTCTGAGGCTCTTATAAAGTTCGCAAACAGCATTTCTCAGGACAACTTTGAGTGCAAGTGTTAATTTCCCCTCTTTGCAGGTGGGGAAAGTGAGGCCCTAGGAAGTTAAGGGATTTAAGAGTGGGCATTCACGCTTGGTAAAAATCCGAGCCCTGCTCTCCGCTTCCAAGTCCAGCTGCCTTGCCAAGCACTAGGCCAAGCTGAAAATCTGGAGGTCAACAATAAGCTGGGCCTGGTTCAGCCCCGCCCCACCCCCAGCCTTTCCCCTTTGGACTTAGGGACCAGAGCCCATCCCCCACCCTCCCTCCCGAAACATTTCTGGAAGAGAAGTCCTAGTTAGGAGCAGAAGAAGGTACCTTGGCTAGAGGCCAAGGAGGGAACTGGAGGAATAGACCAATAGCATGGCTCGAGGGGGATGGAGCTGGCTGGCATAGAGCCTAGACAGAGGAGAAGGAAGAGCCAGGAAGGAAGGAGATGTCACTTAACCAACATTTAAGAGCTTACTCTATGCAATGTACTGGGTCTGGATAAAGACCATAAAGTAACAGAATCACAGGATTTCAGAGTAGAGCGGGACCTTGGGGAGCAGCTAGTCCAATTTGATCTTAATTGAGAATTCCTTCTACCGTGTCCCTAACAAGCCATCATATGGTCTTCCTTTGAAGACATCTGAGGGGAAACCCACTCCTTCCCATTCCACTTTAGAAGGGTTCTAATTATTTGTACGGGACATGAGACTTCCAGGGACAGAAATCAGAAGATGCTAAATGCATTAGAAGAGGGTTTTTTTTTTAAAGTGCTGTGAGAGCAAATGTGGAACTGATCCCTTCCAGCAAAGAGGATCAGGGAAGGCTTCAAGGACTTTGAGAGAGAGGTGGGGTGTGGAGGGAGGTTCTGGTATTCCTGGCATAAGGGAGAATTTGAACAAAGTCGAAAATCTACTCAGAAGAGTGAACATTTTGTTGGGGGAGCCTGGGTGTCATTCAGTTTGGCAGGTGCCTAGAATATGTACCAGGGAGTAGGGTGGGTGGACAAGACTGAAAAGATAGGTTGAAACTGGGTCGTGGCAAAGCTGGAAATGTCAGGCTGAAGAATTCCTTTGGATTATGATGGATATGAAACAGGGAGCCATGGCAGATCACTGAGTCTGGACCAGCTCTGGAACTGGTTTTTTCTTTCATTCCTGAGAACAGTTCCTTGGCCTCTTCCATTTCTTTCTCATCCTCAGCAGCCAAAGTGGTGTCTTAGGAAGCTACTTCAGTAGTTGTGAGAAAGATGGATTGGAATAAAACTGAAGATAGGACCAGCAGTCTAGAGGTTTGGTCCAGATGAAAGGGCCTGAACTAGGCTGGTGGTCGTGGCTATGAGGAGTCAGGACTTTGCCAAGCTCTGCTATTTTCTACCTCTGAGCCTCAGTTTCCTCATTTGTAAAGTGAGAACTGAATTATATGATCTCTCAGCTCCCCTTCCACTCTTTTTTTTGGGGGGGGAAGGCAGTTGAGGTTAAGTGACTTGCCCAGGGTCACACTGCTAGTAAGTATCTGAGGTCATATTTGAACTCAGATCTTCCTGACACCAGGGCAGGTACTCTATCCTCTGTGCCAGCTAGCTGCCCCCCTTTCCACCTTAATTAAACCTATGCCTATAAACTAAATCAGAGCTGTCAAAGTTTCTGTCAGCTGGTCGTGAGTAGCCAAAAATATTCCAGTGTGGGGCCAAACCAAGTTCAACTTTAATTGGGAGATGTTTACCAAAATAAATAAAAAATACAACATAGATAATGCCAATTTGTGGTTTTCTAAGTCAGTGTTGGCCCATAGGAACACAATTTTTCTATTTGAGTTTTGACACCCCTGATCAAAACTTTCCCTGATCAATATATTTCTCAGCCATTGTTGGTGGTGGTAGGAGGGGGCTCATGCCCAGCTCTCCCCATAGCCCGGTCCTTCCTGTCCCCCTTTCCTTTAGAATTCCCCAGTGACACTAAGCTGGTGCTCTGAGGTAGAGGCTAGGTTCCTGTTGAAGGTACTTTGTCCTCACCTGACCACAAAGACCAGAATAGGCCTTTGAAATTGGGCTTGTCCCTTGCATAGGGGGCAGGATGGGTGGTTGATGAATAGACTGAGACAGGGGAGGGTATAGATAAAAGAAGAAGTAGGTCCATCAGCTGTGTTAAAAAACAAACAAACAAAAAAGGCTCATAAGGATCAATACTCATACACAGAAGTATAGTCACTCTGAAGAGTTCCCTGTCACCAAGCAGGAGATTGTCTGTGTGTGTGTGTGTTGTGTGTTTGAAAGGTGGGGGAAAAGAATAAACATTTATTAAGGGCCTAATATGTGGTAGGCACAGTGCCGAGTACTTTACAAATATTTCATTTTATTCACCTAACAAAACTGTAAGGTAGGTGCTATTATGATCTCCATTTTTTCATTTGAGGAAACTGAGGCAAACAGCGGGTAAGTGACTTGCTCAAGGTCACACAGCTAATAAATGTTTGAGGCTGGATTTGAGTCAGGGCCTCCTGACCCCAGACCCTGTACTCTATTCACTCTGATGCCAGCTACCTTAGTTTCCTTGGGAGAGCATCTGTTTTTTCAGGCTTCAATGGCCTACTTCAATTTGGAAAGAAAAAAAAGCATTTAGTAAGTACCTGTTGCTTAGTTCGAGAAACCAGATACCTAGACAAAATAAATGTCTCTGTTCTCAAAGATCTTCTGTTCTATTTGGGTGAGGGGTTCTTAACCTGGGGTACCCCAGTAGGTCTGTGGGTAGATTTCAGGAAGTCCATGGACTTGGATGGAGGAAAAATTACATCGGTATTTTCACTAATTCATAACTGAAAGTGAGTACTGCCTTCAAATATTTAAAAAAACTGATTTTGAGAAGGGGTCCCTAGGCTTTATCAGGCTGTTAATGGAGGAGTGCAAGTTACAAACAAATTTAAGAACCCTTGGACTAGGGGTGGGGAGCCCGCAGCCTCGAGGCCACATGTGGCCCTCTAGGTCCTCAAGTGGGGCCTTTTGACAAAATCCACACTTCACAGAACACATCCCTGTGGCCTCAAGGCTGCAGGTTCCCCACCCCTGGGGGGATAAAACAGCTACACAGATGTATAAATAGAAGATAATTTGGGGAAATTGTTGATCAGTTGTTCAGTCCTGTCTGACTCTTCATGACCCCATTTGGAGTTTTCTTGGCAAAGATACTGGAGTGGTTTGCCATTTCCTTCTCCAGCTCATTTGACAGTTGAGGAAACTGAGGGAAACAGGGTGAAGTGACATGCCCAGAATCATACAGCTAATCAGTGTCTGAGGCCAGATTTGAACTCAGGTTTTTCCTGACTTAAGGCCTGGTGCTTTTCCATATCTAGCTGCCCAAAAAAATTAGGAGGAGGAGGAGGAAACCTCCTAAAAATGAGGTGGATCATAAAAGTCATCCATGAAGGTTGGCACCCATGTTGATCATGGAATAAAGCTGTTGATGAGTGAACATGAGGAGGGAGTGCATTCTGTGTATGCAGGACAGCTTTGGCAAAAGCACTGAGGTGGGAAATGAGATGCTGAGTTCCAGGAAGAGTGTGTTTACCTAAGTGGCTTAAACTTTGCCCTTGCTGTGAGTATTAATTTGCTTCCCAAAAACTTCCCCATAGAAAGGAGAGAGAGAAGCCAATCACTTCCTCCTCCAAGACAAGGGTATGTCTATACTTCCTTAGAGTTCCTCTCAATGAATCTCCTACCCAAGTTCACACAACTCCACCCAGTTCTAATAATGATAATAAAAATGATCATATCTGACACATCCAAAGTTTACAAAGTTCATTCTAATAGCTAGAAATTATATAGGTGGTAAAATGGATAGAGCCAAGTACTTGGTGTTAGGAAGACCTGAGTTTAAATCCAGCCTTAGACACATATTAGTTGAGTGACCTTGGGCAAGTCACTTAACCTCTATTTGCTTCAATTTTATTATCTGTAAATGCTTGAGTCTGAGGGTCTGAATGATCGAATGACCCCTGATGGGGTCTGGCCCCATAGCTAATGCCTTTGGTCAATGGAAGATTCATTTTCTTTCCCCCAAGTGATAGGCATAATGAATCTTATTCTGCTCCTCATCCCTACTGCACCCCAGCTCCCACCATACTGCTGGCCCAGTGAAGTAGGGGAATCTTAGGGCTTCCAGCTGACCAGCCTGGCAGGGATTACCCTCTGCCTTGCCCTGGCCTCTTGTAGGGGACTTCTGCTTTGTGTCAGCCCGCCTTGGCTCCTCCCTCCCATCTCTTTCTTTTTTCCTCACTGGAATCCCCCAAATTCAGTCTGTACTGGAACAGACTGTCTGAGGCCACAGGGTCTAGACAAGGGGAGCAGAGTCCAGTAGGGATCCTGACTCCTCTCTGGGGTTCAAGGAGGTGGCTTCCCTGGGGAAGGAAGGGAGGGAGGAAGGGAGGGATCTCTCTTGGGCAAGAGGATATGAAAGTGAGAAAAGCTGAGGACTCCCCCATCTCCAGGAAGCACACAGGGGAGGAGATCCGGGGGCACCATTCTGAGAAAGTGCTGACGGTTCCTTGTGGCTCCTGGCATGAGAGTCCCCCTCTGCCTGCTGTCTCCTGGGCTTCCCCCACCTCTCTGCTGGGCCCTGGCTGGACTCTGCACCCCCAACAGCCGTCAGCATTCTTTGCAACCCTGAGAGGTAGTGCAAATACTAGTCCTATTTTATAGAAGAGGAAACTGATGGTCAGAGAAGTGAGGATCATCCAGCCAGGGGGGTGGTACAGATGTAGGGGTAAGGCTAGCCCCCAGGGAGCTTGTCTCTCACTATTCTGTGGTGGGCTAACTTTCCATTTGCTGAAACTTTTTCCAAGGTAGCTTCCTGCTGTAGCACTCCACAGGTTAAAAGCATTCTGTTTGAAGACCCTTCTTAGCTATACTATAGTATCTTAGCATTTTTTCTTTTTCCTAGTTTGTATAGCGTGAAGGAGGAGGAGTTCAAAAGACCTGGGTTCAAATTCTTCTTCAGACACTTACCAGCCGTGTTATTCCTGGGTAAATCACTTTCTAAGCCTCAATTTCCTTATCTGTAAAATGGGGATGATAGCACCCACTTCACAGAGTTGTGAGGATCAAATAAGATAAGATGCAGTCTTCCAATTCTTAACACCATATCCCAAGGACCCTTCAGTCCAATCATCCTTGTTCAGCCATCCCTACCAATTCTATTTTATACTAAGGGGAGAGGACCCAAAGATAGAAGGTTGCCTTGCCTCAGCTCCCATTTTTTTTACAGTCTCACTACTTACTGTGATCCTCCTTTTGGCTGTTAGAGTTGTTGTGAGGATTAAATGTGGTAATATGGGCAAATTGTTTTTTTCAAACCTTAAACTGTTAGATAAATGTCGCTATTTTTCATTGTTGGAGTTGACTGGATTTCTTAGGTAGCATAGTGACTTAAAGGGGCATCTCCCGTTTGAATGGAGAACAGTCTCAGCCTGGGATCTAGGATTCCTTGGGAGCCTGGGAAGGCAAGGCTGGTGATTGGCCAACATGACCTACAGGAGCCGGGGATGGCAGATGACTCCAGGAAGATGGTAGATGGCCTCCAGGAGTGGATCGGCAGTGCCTACCTGTTTGTGGAATCGTCGATGGAGAAAGTAATTCTGCCTAATCTATACCAAGATCCTCAGCAGAAGCCGGCAATATTTCGGGTCCTTAAATTGGCACTGGCAGGTGACTATGGGATCCTGGGGTGTATATATATGGGGGGGAATAATAATGACAAAGGTTTACATTTCAATGGTAATTAAGGCTTCTTGCCTTTCCCACAGCAGCCCTGAGAGGTAGTGCAAATACTAGTCCTGTTTTATAGAAGAGGAAACTGATGGTCAGAGAAGTGAGGATCATCCAGCCAGGGGGATGGTACAGATGTAGGGGCAAGGCTATCCCCCAGGGAGCTTGTCTCTTGCAACCACCCCCTCCCCATCCCAGGGCCTAGTTTTTGCTTCCCATGCCTTCCCTCAATAGAAAGTGAAGAAAAAAATCAATCATCTCCCAATTCCAGACTAGAATGTCAAAGGTGTGTGGAGGGCACCTCTTGGTGAAGAACCTTGCCCCCAAAGCTGTTCTACTGGCCACATATGCAGAACAACTAAGAGGCAGGCCGGCCCTGAGGTGTCAGTGTGACCCCAAACAGCTAAGGCATGAATCTCTAAGGCTAGAATAGGGGGTGGCTGTCTAGGACACTTTACCTTTGTCCCCAAGGTGACACCACTCCACCTACACATAGCAGCCCCATAAATGTATATTTGCAGGAGAAAATGTGTGGTTGCATGACATGTGGGCTTTCATGTGCATATGTACATGTGCTCACATGTCTATCAATGTCATATATATATATATGTATGCATGTATATACTGTAATTCAATGTGTGTATGGAAGCATGTGCATTTGTTACGTGTTTCTGTGTGAATTGGGGGTCTGACCCCATTACATACACATATATGCATTTATGGACACAGTGAATGTCCATGAGTCTATGTAGTGCATGCCCATATATGTGTATGTATGTTGACTAACACCATTCATGTGCACTTTCCTTAGGGGACTTTGACTCTCCTCATTGTCTAACTCCTTTTCTCTTTCTCTTTCTCTCCATGTCTGCCTCCTGCCTTCCCTGATTTCCCTCTTCTGTCTCATTGCACCCTCCCTCAGGCCTTTTCCTTTGCCCACCTCTCCTTCCTATAAAGGTTGCCCCTTAAGGCTTCCTTGCCCCCAGTGGCACTGAGACATGGGAGTGAACAGGGGACCTGGATGAAGCGGGAGGTGGGAACCCTCCTCTCCCTCCCCACCGTGGCCTGGGATGAGGCCTGCAATGAGCTCCCTGTCCTCTGCTCTCAAGGCAGGGCTCAGCATGAGAAGACCCCACTTCCAGAAGTAGGGCCAGATTGTTTCCTATGGAAGAGCTCCAGGAGAAGCTATTGTCCCCTCATAAAATGCAGGTGAAGAAGGTCTTCTTGGTATCGCTGCCTGCCCCTAAAGCCCCAAAGCTTTTTTGAGGTGTTCTTTGGTGTCACCAATTTCCAGAGGCCCCACTCTGATGAGGGGCACACTCCATCAGCTGCTGAGGTTGCCAGGGCCTTCCCTCTGGTCCAGCCCAAGCTGTCCCAAGGCCATAGATGTTGCCTAGAGGTGCATCAACGGGCCAGCCAACCCTTTATTTTAATAATAGTTTTGTATGACTATTAAGAGCTAGCCAAAGTCTCGAGGTCTAGCGAGGCCAAGCCAGAGCAGCATTTTTTTTTACAAGCCCCTCCCTCTAGTATAGAGGGAGCAACTAGCCACAGAAGGTCAGAGGTGGATGGGACCTTTGAACATAGAATGTTAGAATCCCAGAGCTGTAAGGGACCTTTGAGATCATCAATCTGTACCTGAAGAGGAATTAATTCCCTTCACAGTATCTCCAATAAGCAGTTATCCTGCCTCTCTCTGCCTGAAGGCCTCTAGTGATGACCCACTACCTCTGAAAGCAATCCATTCCAATTTTGGGATAACACTGATCACTTAATTGTTTGCCTCAGTTTCCTCAGCTGTAAAATGAGCTGGAGAAGGAAATGGCAAACCACTCCCATATCACTGCCAAAAAAAAATCTGAAATGGAGTCATGAAGAGCTGGACATGATAGAAATGCCCCATTGAAATGCATCATTAGGAAGTCAGTTAGGTGGCACATAGGATAGAAAGCTGGGCCTGGAGTCAAGAAGCCTCTGAGTTCAAATCCAGCCTCAAACACTTACTAGCTGTGTGACCCTGGGTAACTCACTTAACCTCTGTCTAACTCTGTTTCTTCATCTGTAAAATGGCAATAATAATAGCATCTCCTTCTTAGGGTTCTCATGAGGATCAAATGAGATATTATTTTTAAAGGGCTATTTAAATGCTAGCTATTATTATTATCAGTTTTCTAAGGCTCAGGCAAGGTAAGTGACTTACTCAGGGTCACACAGCTAGCAAGTGTCAGATTTAGGACATTTTCAGAATGTTAGATCTGGAAAAGGACCTTAGAAACCATTCTAGTCCAGTAGTCTCATATGGAAATTGAGGTCTAGTGAAACTGTGACTTTGTCCAAGGTCAGAACCCAGAGATCTTTCCAGGTCACTAAGAAATTCAGTGATACACACAACCGGGAAATAAGAAATACAGGCAGTGGGGTATAGAAATGTATCCTGCCCTACGGTAAAATAGAAGGGGAAGGTGATGAGAGAAGAGATAAAAGGGAGGGCAGATTAGGGGAAGGGGTATTCAGGATGCAGTCTTGGGGTGGGGGGAGGGAAGAGATAGGGAGAAAATTTGGAACTCAAAATCTTATGGAAGTGAATGTTGAAAACCAAATATAAATTAAAAAAGAGTCCTTTAAAAAAAATTAGTGATAGCTTGAGCCCAGATTAGAATGGATTTGGAAACTCTGTGTGTGTGTGTGTGTGTGTGTGTGTGGTGGGGAGGTATCTAAATTAACAGATAACGGAGAGTTGGCCTACAGACACATCTCCCTCTCCCTCGGAGTCAGCCTGTAGCCTGATCCACTGCACCTCCCCGGCTCCCCACTCCCCACCCCCCACCCCAGGATGCACCGGGAGCCAGGATGGAGTACAGATCCTGAAGATTCACTGCAGCAACCCGCAGCTGATCGTGCACATGAAGTTCTGCGGGCTGGAGCCGTGCACCCGCTTCCTACGGAGCTACCGCGAGGGGGCTCTGCGGGCCGCCCTGCAGGAAAGCCTGGTGGCGTTGCTCGGCCATGCCCAGCACCTGGTGCCGCTGCACCTGGAGCTGCGCGTGGGCTCGGAGCGGCTGGATTTGATGCTGCAGGAGGAGGAGCGCTGTTTACGCTGCATCCAGCAGGCCAAGGTGCGCCCGGCGAGGTTCGGGGAGGGAGGCAGAGCGGGCTGCCGGAGGCGGGCGGCTCTTCGGACGAGGCCAGGGGCGGGGAGGCTGGGTTTAAGGTCAGGCGGAGCCAGACTCATCTTTAGCCTTCCTTCTCCCTCCCTTACCCCATCCCAGCCGGATCGGCTTCGAGATGAGGAGATCGGCAAACTGGAGGATGCTTTCCGGAGCCTGACCTGCGATCCGGGGGGCGGTGGAGCCCCTAAAGCCTCTGCTCCCAAGGCGCCAGCCTACTCGCCTCCTCCGCCCGCGCCCGCACAGACCTTTGTGTTCCAGGGTCAGCAGATTGGTGAGTGGCTTAACAAGCCCCGGGGCGGAGGAGAGGTTCGCTAGTTAATAATCCTGAAGGTGCCCCTACCTCAGCAAAGAGTGTGAGCAGAATTCCTGATCCCTCCGGGAGCTGCTGCTTTACCTAGGGCATCTAGGAAAGGAACAATCTCAGGTTTACCGGGGTGAGTGGGAAGCTGGGGTTCATCGAGAGGGCTCTTCGGGGAGTGCTTGGGAGGGGAACAATTCCTGCATTGCTCTGGCTTCCCCAGAAGGGAAGGGCAATTTTTGGAATATCTAGGCTGTCCGAGATAGAGTACAGTTCCTTGAGATTATTGGAGCTGTCTATAAAGGAGACAATTCTTGTTTTATCCGCGGTGTCCAAGAGGGAGGGGGTGGTGGTAGTAGATCCTTTGTTCATCCGGGAGGGGGCGGGGGGGGGTGTGGAGGTGGGAGGGATGGAGAACTGAAAACCTGGTTTTGTACAAGTCGGGGTGGGACGGGGTTCCGGTTTACAGTGTCTGGGGGCCAGGAATCCCTAGTTTATCTGGAGCCCGAGAGGGTGGCCTGTGGGGATCTTCCACCGTTGTCCCAGTTGTCTCAGCTCAGGGCTCACCCTTCCCCTTCCCGCAGCTAACCGTCCGCTGAGCCTGGAGGATAGACAGAAGTTCGCCCGCTCTGTGGGCCGCAAGTGGCGGACGGTGGGCCGGGCGCTGAACTGCCGGGCCCTTCGGGAGCAAGACCTGGACTGCTTGGCCTACGAGTACGACCGGGATGGGCTTTACGAGCAGGCCTTCCAGATGCTGCACCGCTTTGTGCTGGCCGAGGGCCGCCGGGCCACCCTGCAGCGCCTCGTCGAGGCTCTGGACAAGAGTAGTCTCACCAGCCTGGCTGAGGACCTGCTGGGGCTGCCGGGGCAACGGGAGTACCAGGAACAGGAAGAGAAACAGGATTAGGCGGCTGAGGTGGCCGCCAAAGGCACTACCGGCCCCCCCTAACTTGAGCCAGCACGATCCAGACCTGTTGGACTAAGGGTGGGATGCCTGATTTGTCCAGAGCCGGGGCAGGGGCCCAGACCTACTCCAGGTACTTCGAAGACTGTACTGAGACAGCTGGAGGAGGGCTGAAGGACTGGGCCCCTGGTCCTCTCCCATCCTTTGATGTCTCTCTCAAACACAGATGGGCCCTTACCCTGAATTAGGCCCTAATACCCTGAATTAGGCCATAGCTATCCATTGTCTCACCTAGAGGCCAAAGCACTTTGAAGATGTCTCACGCCCCAGCTCCTTGTATCCCAGAGATACAGCTAGAACATAGCTGAACATCATAGATTAATTAGTAAAAGGCCCTGTGGCTTTGATGTGACAACTGAGTGTCTGGGTCAAGGCAGGGAGTTGCATTGGGAAAGAGAAGGGGGTGTGTGTGGGAGGGTTTAATAATATTTATAAGGCTATTAAAACTTAAAATTGCCCTAAGACTTTGGGGACACTCTGAATAGTACCTTAAGGTTTGCAAAGCATTTTACACATTATATCATTTGGGCCTCCTAACAACACCCTGGGAGGTTGGTGCTATTATCATCTCCATTTTGCAGAGGAGGAAACCAAAGGTGAGAGAAATTAAGTGACTTGCCCAGGGGAATTGTTGATCAGTCATGACCTCATTTGGGGTCTTCTTGGCAAAGATACTGGAGTGGTTTGCCATTTCTTTCTCCAGCTCATTTGACAGATGAGGAAACTGAGGCAGAGAGGGTGAAGTGACTTGTCCAGCTGATACACGTGTGAGGCCACATTTTAACTCAGGTCTTCCTGACTCCATGCATTTTGCCAATATAGCTGCATTTAAACATGAAAGAACAATCTCTGCTCTTGTTTGACACTGATGCGTATGCTAGGGGCAGGGGGGAATAAGGAGAGAGGGAAGTAGGCTCTCCTACACTTCCCCAAATGGGGTGTATGCATATATGTATATATGTATGTATATATGTATTAATCAAAAAGGGTTAATTAAGTGTTTACCATATGCCAAGCATTATGCTAAGTGATGGAGACACAAAGACAGGGAAACAGTACCAGTCACGTAGCTTACATTCTAAGGGGAGACAATATGCATGTTCGAACATCTGTACAGTATGTGAGGAGCAGATACAAGGTAACCTCAGGGGTAAAGCACTAACTCTGCCTATGGCTGGTCTAGAGCTGAGTCTGGAAGGAGACTAGAGATCCCGAGAGAGAGAAAGGGCTTTAGAGGCATGGAGGAAAGCCAGTGAAATAGGAGTCGGGGGACATGGGAAATGAAGGGTCTTGCAGGAGAAACAGCAAGAGGCCAGTTTGGCTGAACCAGAGAATGTGCAGCAGGCAGTGAGGAGACTGGGGCTGGTTTATAAAGGGCTTTAAATGCTGAACAATTTATGTTTGGTCCTCCAGGTAGGAAGGAGCCCCTGGGTTTGAGTAGGTGGTTGACATAGTGAGAGCTGCATTTTAGGAAAATGATTTTTGATGACTGAGGAGGATGAGTTGAAATGGGGAGAGATGGGGCAGCTATTGCAGTAATCCAGGGGAAAGGTAATGGAGACCTGCAGAGGGATAGATAAGGATGTATGAGCTCCTTAGCCCAAGGCATTCCAAGAAAGAGGGAGCAGATGAAAACACTTAGGACTGAATATTGGCTTGACTTTAAACACTTAGTACCACTTCTTGTCTGCCCCCTAAACACGACTTAAATTTAGCCATCTTTACACACGTGAGAGAGGTGGACAAAGATAATAGATAGAGCCCTGGGCCTGAAGTCAGGAAGACCTGAGTCCAAATCCAGCCTCAGACACTTACTAGACCCTGGGCAAGTCACTTCACCCTGTTTGCCTCAGTTTCCTCATCTGTCAAATGAACTGGAGAAAGAAATGGCAAACCACTCCAGTATCTTTACCAAGAAAATCCCAAATGGGGTCACCAAGAGTCAGACATGACTGAATAACAATGATCTCTAAAATTATTTCTAGCTTCAAAATCCTGTGATCCAAAGGAACACTGAGAAAGTGATGTGGTGTCTTTTTGTTTGTTTTTGGTGAAACTATTCCCTCCAGCCTTTCAAAGGCAGGGCATCCAGTTGCTAAACCCTATTCTTTGGTAAGTGTTTGTGGAGGCAGCCTGGGAGATTGAGGGGCCCTAAAAAAGGTGCCAGAGCTTTTTAAAAAAATCCCCCAAGGCATTTTACTAATTAGAGTGTAGTTTGGGTTAAAGAGTTCATCTTAAAAATATAAGTTCTCTAGAGGAGGTCAGTCACATTATAGTATGAATTCAATCCTATCATGGCATTTCACTGAAGTTTGGGCTCTGACTGAGGGGACAGAGTTGGGCAGAAGTAAGAGGGAGGGATACTTTAGCAGCATGATCACTTGGGGGCAATAAGGTGAGGTGCTCTAACTTGCTAGGGACAGCATAGACTTGACTGGGTACCAGGGATGGGGAGAAAAGGAAGAAACCTCACTTGAAACTTGGGGAGCCCATATTACATATTTTACCAGTAAGAATTCTTGTCTGCACTCCTCCACCCCCATCCACACTGGTGCCAGCACCACATTGTACCATATAGATTCTGACCACTTGTCTCTACTTACCTTTGCCGTTCATCAGCTTTGTGATTTGGGGCAAAACCTCTTCTTGAGACTTCAGTTTTCTCATTTTTGAAATTCAGGGGTTGAAAGGGAATGTCTCAAAGCTCCTTCAAGCTCCAGCTCTCTGATGGTTAAATTTTAGATGAGCAGTCCACACAATGCTTGTGTACAAGTGTCTGTGTGTGGTTGTCTAACTTTGTCCCTATGTCTTGTGTGTGAGTCTCTCTGGGCTGGTCTCTTTTTACATTCTGTGTATCTGGCTCCCCCTATTTCTGAGTGACACCATGGGCCATTCTCTTCCCTGTGGCTCTGGGGAGGGGGGCAGGATTTCCGTGGCCAGGGCTCAATGGCCAGAGCATGGCACCCTCAGTCGAGGTGGAAAAATCAGGGCATCTCAGAAGCAGCCCCAGGTCTTGTTTGCTGGAAACTCTCCCCTGCCCTTTCCCTCATGGTATCAAGCCTTCAGGAAGGGGAATATATTTAGAGATAGAAGATTGGTTCTTGTCCTCAGAGAACTTACAGTCTAAGTAGGGAGAGAGGAATCATGTAGAAAGGGAACTGACAATACCAGGCAGGATCCCAGAAACTCCAGAGTTTGAAGAGACCCCATTGGCCATCCTCACTACCACACACCCAACCAATGGTTATCCTGCTTTTGCTTAAGGACCTCTGGTGAGGAGGAGCCCATTCATTACACTTTGCCCTAGCTCTGACAGCAAGTGAATTGGATTTAAGTGAGGGAGGGTAGTGCAAAGTCACCAACCTCACTTTCATCCACAGTCCTCTTCAAGACCAAAGGACAAGCAACAGGTAGCAAGTGAGCCCCTGTGGGCAGCAAGCCTAAACTCTCCTCTTTGCCACTAACACCTCTTATTCTTGCTCCTGTTTTCTGGGGCCCAAAGGAACAAGACAGATCCCTCTTCATTTGACAACCTTTCAAGTACTTTAAAGACATTTGTGATGCACTCCAGGTCTTCTCTCAGCTGATATCCTCAGTTCTTTCAGCTAATCATAGAGCTTACATCTGAGGCTTTTTGTGACTCTTCATTCATGCCCCACTCTGGAACCTCTCCAGATTATCAATGCCTTTTGTGAGCAATGATTCCCAGAAATGTAAAAGGCAATCAAAGGATACAGATGAGAAGCAATAAAGGAAATCTGAAGGAGAGAAAGCTGTGAACTGGAAGAAGTGGATCTTAGGTCTTGAAAGACTAGTGTTTAGAGAAAGGCATTTCAGGTACTGGTTGGATTAGATGCCTAGGGAGGCCCCTTCTAATTCAAATTCAGGTTGGGAAAGAGTGAGGAAGGAAGAGAAGGGAGATAGTTATGTCATGAACAAAAAGTTAAAGGGCAGCTAGGTGGTGCAGTGGATAGACCATGGAGCCCTGGAGTCAGGAGGACCTGAGTTCAAATTAGGCTTCAAACATCTGACACTTACTAGCTGTGTGACCCTGAGCAAGTCACTTAACCCCAATTGCCTCACAAACAAACAAACAAAAAGTTAAAACTTTAGAGCCATCCACCTTCAGTGGAAAGAGCTCTGAATTTGGAATCCTGACTTAAAATCCTCCTGTCTCTGCCTCTTACTTCTTATGTAACATTGGGAAAGTCACTTTGCTTCTATGGAAGGGAGTTTCCTTATAGTTAGTATTTACATAAATAGAATAAATAGTATTTAAATAGGCACTTTAAGGTTTGCAAAACTATCTCATTTGATCCTCACAACAATCCTGGGAGGTAGCTGCTAATATCCCCATTTTACAGATTGGGAAAACTAAGGCAGAGAAAGGATAAGTAACTTGCCCAGGGTCACAGAGGTAATAACTATCTGAAGCTGGATTCGAATTCTGGTCTTCTGAACTCTGATTACCCAGTGTACCACCTAGCTGCAGCTATAAAACAAGGGTGTCAAATACTCCTGCAATAGCACCTTGGGCATTTCTCACGATAAAGTTCTTAAGGTAGATGGCGATCCTTATTTTACAGATGAGGAAACAGATTGTTGTAGCCTGGGCCTGATTCAGGCTGCCCTGGTTCTTCAGGTGTGGAACTGGAATGAAATGAGATGCTTATAGACCATTTAACAGTTAACAAAGCTAGGCTGACCATAACCGTACAGCGTGGAAGGACACTTAGCAAAGATATAGCACAGGCTCAGTTGATGGAAGGTTCCCTGCTGGCATCAGACGTCCTACCTGTCAAACCTGGAGCTATCCCTGCCTCCTTGAATTCTGGCTTTCATATTTGGATCATCAGGAAGCTATTTCAGTAGCCTAACCTTAGTTTCCCAAGCCAATTATATTTTTTAAATGGTTTCAGCACCTTTTAAGGAAAAACTAGCCTAGCCAATATGGCAGATACTGCTCCTACCACACAGGTTCAGTGACTAATTTCTCCAAGGTCACTCAACCAGTAAGTAGCACTAGATGATCTGAAAGTTCTTCCCAGATCTAAATCCTATAATCCCATGACTGTGTTCTGGGGTCAGTGAGTGACTTCTGGGACAGAGGAGAGGGTCCTTGGAGGACTGGGGGAAATGAGGCTTCTAAAAAGTAGATTGAGACCAATTCCTCATATGCCCCTATTTTCTGCTCCCTCCCAAATCCCTTTAAATGCATAATACAATTCCTTTAAATATGTAGTAACCAACCACCAAAGGGTCAACAACCTCTCGATTATTAAGATCCAGTAAGACACCAGTGGGGAGATGAGTACTCTTTTTTTTTTTTTTGGCAATTGGGGTTAAGCGACTTGCCCAGATTCACAGAGTTAGTAAGTGTCAAGTGTTTGATCTGAAGCCGGTCCTTTATCCACTGCGCCACCTAGCTGCTTGGAGATGAGTACACTTGAAATGTGTCTGCTACACTCATGGAGGACATCCAGGCATGTGTTCAAATCAAGGAGTAATGGTGAGGCTCTCCAGGTGCTCCTGCTTGGGGATAACATTGTGCTGATTGTACCAAGCTCTAAAACATTGCAGAATTTCCTAAATGAGCTTCACAAGCACTCATCTGAGTGAAAACTAAGTGGATAAAGAATACCTGTCTGCTGTTCTTAACTTTGATAGAAAGGACCAGGATGGACATTTGGTTTGTTAGTACATGTATATGAATCGCTGCATGCACAATGAATGGGGTCCATACTTCAATAGGAGAAAAATGGATTGATTGCATTTGGAAAATTATAGACCATTTAACAGTTAACAAAGCTTTTAATGATTGCCCCTCCCCTCCCCAACTTCTTCATGAAACAAAGGCCTTCCTTCCTTCCTTCCTTCCTTCCTTCCTTTCTTTCTTTCTCTTTCTTCATTAACACCCTTTGGTGATACCGTATGCTTGTGGATCTTGGAACATCACAGTTTCCAAAGAACAAAAGGTGAAAATCCCTTACAGGGCAATGAAGAGGCACATGGTGGGTATGAACAGGTTGCCGCCTGTTAATCAAGCAAGGACATCAGTCATGATCAGAAGAGGTGGGCTGGTCATGTTTCGAGCAGGAGATATAACTGATGGAAAATCCATGCTTTATGGGACGAAAGTCATCCAGAAGAGAGGGCATGGATGGGTCATCATTTGCACCCTTGGAGGGAGTACCCATGTTGATCAAATCCATTGTCATATTGAAGAATCTGGTTTTGATCACCCAGTGACTGAAGCTTGAGGTCACAGAGGGATGTGCTTTGAATCCCAAGGTCTCTTTCCATTCTGACATGTTCTGAGCCTCTACATGTCCATTAGGCAATTGGAGCCAGGGTTTACTTGGCTCCCTAAACTAAGTCTCTCAAACCTTAAGAAATCATCTCACCCAGGTCCCCTAGCCCAGCACCGAAGGAAGGGACTGTGCAGAAGAGGGACTGATGCTTCTCTTGGTGTCTCAGACTTGCATCCACATTGGGAAGATGTCCATTTTACAGAAACGGTCTACTTGTACATAGAAACAGACAGACTCCAGACTTTCTGCAATGACCCTCATGCGCCCTATTCTCCAAAGGCCCAGCTCCAACCTCACTCCCTTCCTGGTCCTTCTCCTTCTCTAACCCCTCCAGTCTTCCCTTAACTTCTCTGAGTAATAGTAATATAATAGTGCTAATGTAAGTGTCCAAAGTGCTTTCCTCATAACACCACAGTCACTCAAGGAAGACTGTGAAAATTTCCTTATTTTTCCTTACCCTCCCCATATGATTTGCCTAAGGTCAGACAGTCACTGCGGCAGGACTCCCAAATCCCACTAAGACCTAGTATCTTTGCACACTTTGAAGTGTGGCACACACTAATGCTTGGATGTCTATGTCTGTGCTAAGGACCAAACCAGGCCGCGGATCAGGGGGAAAGAGGAAGGCTGAAACGCTGGGCTCGTCTCCTCCTGCTTATCAGCTCCTCTCCTCTCCTGCCTCCCAAAGGCTCGCCAGTCAGGCTTCCCCAGCTCTTGTTCGCAGACAGTTAAGTGAATTTGGGAGCAGAACAGAGGGCCCTCCCTCCGGCTGTTCTCTCTCAGCCTCCCCCAACCCCAGGACTGCACATCTGCTGGTGCCACGTGACGCAGCAGCAGCTGGCCTCTTTGCTTCCCTCCCCTCCCCGGGGCCGGGGTTCTTCCCCTGCCAACGTTGCACTCGCAGGCCCCAGCTAGGCGCTGGGGTTGCCCAGGCTCCGTATGCCCGTCCCCAGCGACCCAAATGCCGGAGGCAGGAGGGACCGCGGGTGTCCCGGGGTCGGCCAAGCGAAACCCAGTGGCCCGGGCCTGGCTCCTGAGACAGACGTGAGTGCGCTGGTGAGTACCCGGGACAGGGTCTGCGGGGGCCTGGCCCGGCTGTTTCAGTCTCTGGGGATCCCAGGCAACTTCATAGTTAAGGAACGCAAGGGCAACGGTTTGCCAAATCTGGAAGGAAGGCAGTCTTGATGCTGGGCGGCGGCGGGAAGAGCAAAGTTGGTGGTGACTGGTTCATTCTTATGTTTCTGTTATTACCCGAGAATGGTCAGACCCCCCACCCCCTATCCCGTTTTTAACCTCTCCCGATTCGTCTTTCTCAGAAGCTAGGAGCCCAGCTAGGTGGGGCTCGAGTCCCAAAGTAGTGAGTCCGGGAACATACCAGGAGGGACGGACTGGAGCCTGGGCTGGACTTTCTGACCATGAACTGTCGGAGTGTGCAGGGAGGGCCCAAGAGGTTTTTTTTTTTTTTTAAATGGGGGAGGGAATGGGGAAGAAGGGATGAAGATTTCAAGAGTTAGTCTGACCTGTATGATCCTGGGCTAGTTGTGTGTGTGTGTGCGTGTGTGTGTGTGTGTGTGTGTGTGTGTGTGTGTGTGTGTGTTTTTCTCATTTTCCATAAAAGGAACCAGTCACCAGCTCAGCCACAGTTCTCACCGAAGCTCCTCTCTTCCCCCCTTGTTTGCTGGGGTCTCACTGACCCACACATTCAAAGTTTCAGGCATCTCTGGGGCCCGAAACCAGGAGTGGGTGTGTTGCTCCTTTTGGCTTCTTCAAAGGGAGTGTGCCCCTTCGCTATTACGCCCCAGTGCCTGGAAGCCTCAGTCTGAGAACACCTGTGTGGGTGGATCTGCCACTCACAACCACAATCACGCCTAGGCTCGGTGTCCAAGCAAAAAGGAAGCAGCTCCGGGCAGCGGTAGGGAGGGTGCTTTAGGGGTTCGTAGCTGAGGGCGGCACTCCATCCTGGGACAGAGTGAACAATGCATCATCTCACCCCCTTTCCCTAGGCCCCGCAGGTGGGCAGGGGCGAGGCAGGACTTCTCCATGTTGGAAGGAGTCAAAGCCCTGGGGAGGAGCTGGCAAGGGAGGCCCCTCTGCCCGTGGTTCTGCTAGCTGTGCCCTCGCTCTCTCTCCCCGCAGGCGGTCATTGGAGGTGCGGGCTCTTGATCTAGGCTCTGGGGGGCCAAGACCATGAGGCTGAGGCGGAAGGCGGACGCTGCGCTCACCTTGCTCCTGGCCACCGCCCTCTGTTTGCTCCTTTACTCGCAGCGAGAGCAAGGGGCCCCCGCGGCCAGCCTGTCCAGCGCCCAGGCCAGGATGGTCACTGGCCCAGCCCCGCTGCCCCTACCCACGCGCCCTGGCTGGGGGCCAGAGGTGGTGCGCGCCTTTCCAGCTGCCAGGGCTGAGCACCCGATCTACGAGGCGGACACGCCAGCGCCCCCGACGCCCTCGGGGCCCTTCGACTTTCGCCGTTACCTGCAGGACAAGGACAAAAGGCGCTTCCCGCTCCTCATCAATCAGCCGCATAAGTGTAGGGGGCTTCCAGGAGGTCCAGGGCCAGACTTGCTTATCGCTGTCAAGTCTGTGGCCGCAGACTTCGAGCGGAGGGAGGTCGTGCGAAAGACCTGGGGTGCAGAGGGGCACGTGAGCGGGGCGCGGGTGCGGAGGGTCTTTCTGCTGGGCATTCCTCGGGGCCCGGCGGGGGCGGGGGCGCAGGCCCACGAGGGCCTGCTGCGGGCTGAGGGCCACGCCTATGGGGACATCCTGCTCTGGGCCTTCGATGACACTTTCTTCAACCTGACCCTAAAGGAAATCCACTTCCTGGACTGGGCGTCCACCTTTTGCCCCGACGCGCGCTTCGTGTTCAAGGGCGACGATGACGTGTTCGTGCACGTGGAGAACCTGCTGGAGTTCATAGCGACACGGGACCCGTCCCAGGACCTTTTGGCGGGGGACGTGATCCTGCAGGCGCGGCCCATCCGCGCTCGGGACAGCAAATACTATATCCCGGAGAGGGTGTACGGGCTGGGCGCCTACCCTGCGTACGCGGGAGGCGGGGGCTTCGTGCTGTCCGGAGCCACGCTGCGGAGGCTGGCCGCCGCCTGCGCCCAGGTGGAGCTCTTCCCCATCGATGACGTCTTTCTGGGCATGTGCCTGCAGCGTCTCCACCTGGTGCCCGAGGCACACCAGGCGTTCCGCACCTTTGGCATAGCACGGCCCTCGGCCGCCCCCCACCTGCGCACTTTTGACCCCTGTTTCTATCGGGAGCTCGTGCTGGTGCACGGGCTGTCAGCAGCCGACATCTGGCTCATGTGGCAGATGCTGCACACGGTGCCAGGGCCCGACTGCGCTCGAAGACGCACGGCCCCAAAGCCCTTCCGCTGGGGCTCCTAGCTGCTGAGCCAAGCGTGGGACCCGAGGAGAGGCGAAGTGGAGAAGAAGTGGGGTTCCTCCCAGCCCTGCTTCGAGTAACATTCCTCAACCTCATTTCCTTGCCTGTAAAATGAAGGCCCTTCTAACTCTAAATCCGTTGCTTGCGGGTAACAAGCTTACTTTTAATTATCTGGTGCGTAGATGCTAGCAGGGCAGAAGGAAAACATTTTCTTTGATACCAATTTTCACCATCTATCGATACATCGAATATTTAAGTGTCTCTATCCAAAGCACTGGAAAGACAAAAGCCAACTGGTCCCTTCCCTCAAAGATCTCCCGTTCACAACGTGTGCATATATAGGTCTGAATGAGAACATACCATTAAATACAAAGGAGGGGAAGGCACCGGGGTATGTGGAACATTATTCCATTTCCAGCAAGGAGCGTTTAACCCAATTAAGGCTTAAGAGTTTAAAAGAATCCTAAACATCTTTCAGGCCCCAATTAGGAAAGTTCTGCTCACACTAGTTACATCCTTGGCTGGCCTGGGCTGAGCTTTCTGTAAAGAATCTCTGGGCAGGGAGATGTAATTTTCATACTTGGTTCATCCTGGATTGCACAATAACTTCTTCACACAGGTCCGATTTTCAAGTCCTGGACTGCAGAGTCAGCCCCAGACCCCGTCAGCCCTGTCCAGGCCACGAGCCAGTCATAAAGAGTGTGTACTTGGGGCAGCTTTTGGGGGAAAGAGCCACAAATCCCAGCTGTTTTCTGAGTTTGAGGGGATCCTCTCCCGCCCTCTGCCTCTCTTATCCGAATGCAGTCAAGCTCTCTGCCTTTCCATACCCCTTCTTTTTCTCAGCCTACACATTACCTCTCTCGTATGCCTTATTTCTGGGCTGCGCTCCTGATCTAGTTCTTGCCAGCAACAATGGCAGAATCCAGCCTCATGTGTGTGCAGAAAGGTGCTTTCAGGGATACATTTGGGGTGTGTGAATGAAGAAGTCCTTAACGTCCCTTTCAGCTTCCAATCCTAACTTCTTGTTACCAGGGTTTAGTCCGTTTTATTTTTCCCTCTCCAGCATCTTCAGTCATTGTTTCTGACTTCACACAAGCCTCAAATTTGCACTAACTTGGACAGAGAATTTGGTCAAACTGAGGGGAGGTACTGTCCAGACTTCCAGGGCTAGTGCCATTCTTTCTAAGGTTACCCTTCCTCTACTAATCTCAGGTAGGCCTTTTTTTATGTGCATCTCTTCTAGTTGGAACTCTTTGAAGGCCTCTTTTTGCTTTTTCTCTGTATCCAGGGCAGTGAAACTGGTGCCTGGCACACAGTAAGTGCTTAAGGAAAGCTTCTTGAAAATACCTGAACCTACCTGCCCTTTCCCCATCCATTACATCGGCCTTATTCCTCAAGTAGATTGTTCCTGGAGGGAGCCATCATATTCTGGACAACTTTCTGAAGTTTCAACACTTTCTGCAAGAATCAGGACCAGATGGTGTGAGTGAGTGAGTCTGTGCATGTATAAAAATGGCATCACAGGTTGAGGGATGTTTAAAGTTGAGGAAAGACTGGTCCAGAAAAGTTAACCTGACACAAATGAAAAGAGCGCAGCACAGTTATCAAAACCCCGGTGTCTGGACTCTAAACCTAGCTTTCTTTCTACTGCACCACAATGCCTTGGCCCTGTCATTTCCCTTATCTGTGAAATGGGCCAGCAGAAGTTCTCAGAAATCTCTTCCAGTTCCTGGGGTCAGCACCAACATTCATTGATTCAGAGGGCTCCCACCTCCCCCCAGCCCTCTTTTATTTGAGGGCAGGGTCTATCTTTGAATCCTGAGTCCCCATTCTCTCTACCCATCAGCCCCTCCCAGGGCCTTGTGAAAAGCAGTCATTTAATCAGAACCTTAGGAATCTGCAGGCTCTTGGAGAAATGACAGATGTAGTACTTTTCTCAGAGGAGCTAGATCTAAAAGTGAATCCTTGGAAAAAATCAAAGAGGGAGAAGCGGGACCAATTTTCTGAGTTCTCCCTTTGAAATGCCATTGGTGATCTGGGCATGGTCATTTGTGACTGAGGTACCATCTAGTTTGGAAGGGGGAAGCTGGCCTAGGACAGTCCTTTACAGAGGCCAAAAAGGGGGGAGGTGAGTGGGCTGATCTGAGGGGTCTGAGGTGCAACAAAGTCTATGGTGTGAGAAGCTGGGAACAGATGAGGCAGACATGTTTGCTGGGGACTTGGGGCATATCTAGACCCAACCTGGTGATAAAAGTGGTATGATGGTGAAGCACAAGGAAACTTCACAGCTAAGAGACAAGGAAAGATCCTTGAATAAGAAGACTCACAACTCTGGCCCCCTTCCACAGCAAGAGGGAGGGAGTGCCCCTCTTGGGAAGGCCAAGATGTCCACTGACCCACCTGAAGACACTGCTTCAATTCCTATGGCCACAGCTGGAGGCGTACAGGAATCCCAACTTGCCCATCCCAACCGAGCCAAGTTTCTGGCAGATGCTAGAATCTGCCCTCCCAAGTCAAGGGCTCCCAGGGGACCACTGTGATCCCATACCCAGAAAACCATCAAAAGGATGTGACCAAAAAGCCATCACACTCAGTCACTGTGCTGTGCACCAGCCAGTGCCTGAGGGAGAGCTCCACTTTATTAGCCTTTTGGGACACATGCACCTCTGGGGAATGTACAGGGGCCAGAGAACAAAGATGATTAGAAGTGAGGAGGGACGACAGGGCAGGTAGGGCAAGCAGGCAAGGGGTCACCTACAAGAAAGGTGGCTCCTAACAGTCCTTTCTTTTCTTGGCCCTCGGCAGGTGGATTCCCAACTGTGGTTTCAGTCAGACAGTCTAGAATGTCACAGCCCATGGGAAGATGACACGGTAACAGGGATGCCACACACACACACACACACACACACACACACACACACACACAGAGCAATGTTCCCCTGGTCCTGGATCCAAAAACATTAGGTACCAGTCTATTTTCTCATTCTTCAGTAAACTATTTAGGATTATACTGTACATGAGTTAAAGTTACAAAAATGTCTTATTTACAAAAATCTGTACACACATTTGAAAAACCTCACAAAATTTTCTATGTATCACAAGTTGCTACATCAAAATATTAAAAATGGGATAAAATTATACATTTCTTGTCAATTTGTTTTTTCTCTCCTAAAAAGGGTTATTTTCAGAGACTCTACTTTCCCCAAAGAGACCTGTACAGGGGGTTCCAACTCCCTGACCCAGCCTCCCCGGCCCAGCTGGAAGAGTATGTCAGTATCCTTGGGTTAGAGACCTGTTCAGACAGGGTTAGGGGAACAAACTATACAGAATGCTGAAATGTAACAGAGGAAGAGGATGTCTTTGGCGAAAACTTTGGCATTAAATAAAAGATGCAGAAGGAATGGAAGGATGCAAACATGCCCAGGAGGGGGCAGCGCCTTGCTCTTCCCCTTTCCCCTCCTTAGCAGTAGGGGCTCGAGCTCTAGGGCCCCAGGTTGTCCCAGTACCATTGAGGAGACTGTCCAGGGGCAGGGTGGGCTTAGACCGAAAGAGAAAAGGGGACCAATGGAAAAGATGCACCGCTCTGGCAATGACGGCTTCCACGGGGAGGGGGAAGCGGAAACAACGGGATCACTCGCTCTTCAGGATGTGTTTCTATCTAAGCTTTGAAGCAAATCTAAGTGGAATCCTGACCTGGCTGCCAGCCAGTCCAAGCCACAGAAGAGCCTCTTCAGGGTTAATGCAGTTAGTTATCAAGTCAGTAAAGTGGATGTAGTGCAAATGTCACAATCAAGTAATACGCACATGCGACTTGCTTGTAGTTTGAAAGTTACACAGAGATTCACACGGTGCCAGAAGTCAGGACATATACGCACACTTGTCCCGTGGGGCCCCAGGACGACCGTATATGTTCTCTCTATGTAGATATAGGTTTTTATATATAAGAAGATATAGCTTTGCTTTCTCAAATGTGACTACTACATCAACACAGCCACACAAACACACAGACTAACCGACACCTGTGTCCAGATGCTTCAGAGTTCAGAGTTTGTGCTTCTAAATCTTTGCAGTCACTTTGTGCCCTCAGCAGCTGTGCCACCCCGCCCGCCCGCCCCCTCCCTTCCTGCCAGGGAAGAAGACGAAGTCAGCCCCTGGGGGCTGGGCTGACCAGGCCAGGAGGAAAAGCCCGCAGACCATTAAGTTCAGTTCCTTCACCACGGCTTCCACGTCTCGGAAGAGTCGAGGGCTACCTGCTCTGTGCTGCCACCAGGAGGGTAAAAAGAAAGAAAAACCCGCTCAGTGCCCCCTCTGCTACAAGTGGCAGCAAGTCAAGGCACGCTGTATGGCCAGGTCTGGAGAGGGCTCAGGAGGAGGGCAGTCTTTCACGGGAGCTCCGCCGTCCTCACGTGTGTGCTGGGCTTGGGCGGGCCATACAGGGTCACTGATGCTATGTGGTTGTTCTGCATGACCTGGGCAGGGAGAGGCAAGGGTCAGAGCCCCACCCACCTGAGCTTGCCACAGGTACGGCCCCATTAAATTCTACAGTCCCCTCTAGCCCTGACTTTCTGTTCTAAGATCTAAGGGACCTTTCAACTCTCATACTCTACAATCTAAGGTTTCCTCTGGCTTAAAAAAGCCTAAGAGCCCATGATCCTGAATACACTTGCCTTTCTGTGTAGTAAATCTGCTCAAGCCACCCCGCTACTCATCTGTACATTGAGGAGATTGGATGACTCCAAGCAGTCTTTTGGTTTGTTTTTTTTTAAGGCAACTGGGGTTAAGTGACTTGCCCAGGATAACACATCTGGTAAGTGGACACCAGGCATTCTTAACCTTGTGTCATGGACCCCTTGGGAAGGCAGGTACAGGCTACAGACACCTCAGAAGAGTTTTTAAATATATAAAATGCAAAGGATTGCAAAAGAATATTAAAATACAGCTACTAAAATGCTAACAATTCCAAGTTGATAGGCTCTCTCCCCTTCCCTAAATCTGTGGGTCTGTGGCCCCCAGGTGAAGAACCTTTGGACTAGATTGTCTTTAAATCCCATACAGAGAAGGGCAAGTGGATTCAGGATCACAGGTTTTTAGGCTTTGTAGTATAAGCCTCTGAAGAAGGGAACTTGTCTTATTCAACAAATATTTTTAATATAACTTTTATTTTATGTCCCCCCCCCTCCTCCGTTAACATGCAATTTTCCCTTTCCCTCCTACTTCCCCCTCCATTAAAAAGAAAAAAGAAAGAAAAAATCCTTGTAATAAATATGGATAGTCAAGCAAAACTGCCATGTCTCATTCTGCATTTTGAATTGATCAACTTCATTAACAGGTGGGTAAAATCAACAATTATTTATTAAGCAAACCCACCTAAGAGAGTAAGTGATAAGAGGCCAAACCATCTCTCTTATCTCTTAGTGCTGAGCACAAATCCTTTCAAATATTCTCAGGGCTTCAACATTTATCAGATCCACTCTGTAAGATAGGTTATGCCCTGGAAATTACAAGGAACTTACAGAATTAACAGGAGCTGAGTAAAGACCGACATTTTATTCAAATAAAATTATACGCTTAAATACTGTGAATCTCCTATCAACACAAAGCTCCCTCTAGCCTCCACGTTCAATCAGACCATGGGAAGCCAGTTTTGCTCACCTCAAAGATCATTCTCTGTAGTCCAAAACAAAAGGTTGATCCAAATGGGTTTGTGTTATTTGGTGAAGATGACCTTCAGAGGAAGAGACAAAAGGGACAGTGTTGAGGCATTTGAGATTAGAGGTCAGCTGAAGGGATCCAAACATCCAAAATACCTTTATCTGAGGATAATGGAGGGCAGGAAACAGACCTTAGGGAAGAGACAGATGGGATGGACACTAGAAGAAATGGGATATCCTGAGGTACCAAAAGAAAGCTTGAGAAAAGGGCCAGCCCTCTGCGTATATCTATATGTAGTATGAATGGTAGGGTGGAAGGGAAGGACGCATAATCTCTGTGTCATAGCCATTCCTGTGGGGGCAAATCATCTGTCTGCCACCCCTTCCATTTCCTCCTGGGTAAATCAAAATCAGGTTGAAATCAATATCCAAGGCCTGGCCTTTAAATTAAAGCAAGTTGGGGTGGGGAGTGAAGCGTGTGCGAGTCTTCTTGTTGATGATACCCTTGGGTAGATTTAATGGCTGGTTCATTAAGTCGATACCAATTAAGTACAAGTTACCTGCATTTCCAATAGAAGATGCCTTGCTGGGCCTGGCAGAATACAGAGCCCGTCCCAGCGTGGAACCTGGGCGTACAGCCTTGATTTGCTATCACCAGCGGTCATGAGAATGGTAAGGCAGTATGGTGCAATAGAAACAGCCCTGGATTCAGCGCCAGCTGACCTCAAATACTGTGCTGGTTACTACTTGCAGGACCCCAGGCTAGATATTTAACCTCTCTGGGCCTCAGTTCCATATCTAGACAATCCCAAGTTTGGACCAGATGGCCTCCAGCTCTCAATCAAAAGAGGGGCTTGACCTAGATGATCCCTAATATCCCCCTCCACCTCTAAATCCTAAAATGCTAGGAAGCACAAGCCACTTCGGGGTGTGGAGGGTAAAGCTGTCCCCTGGAAGGAGCTCCAAAAGAAAGGTGATGTACCTTCATCTGCTTTAAATACTTTAAAGATATGAGCTATTCAAAACCAGGCAAAATTTTTGGGCTGGAGTAAGGGGCAAGGCATTAACTTCAATGAATTGGGCTGGTTTTATTTTTCTTGGCTTGAAGCTTCTGGCTCTGAGCCCTTGTGTGAGGGGAGAGAAACAGACAGGATTTAACTGCCTCCGAGCCTGCCTGGTAGGGGCAGGGGGGAGAAGGGGGGAGCCTTACCTGTGAAGCACAACAGGCTTCTCCACAGGATGCCCAAGGAGATCCTGGATACTGTCCCACTGCAACACAGAAACACAAAAGGGCAGAGGTCAGGTAAGCCCTCCTTAGGTGCTCTTCCTGGTCCGGCCCAGACAGGGGGCTGCCACAACCCCGGGGCCCTGACACCTTCCTCACAGTTACAGTGAATGGCCCATGTGTCGTGTTCATCCTCAAAGCAGAAGTCAGGAGACACTGAGAGTGTCCAGAAGCATGGTGGCATGGTGGAAAGTGCCCAGACTGGGAGTCAGGAGGCACCAATAATCAAGCCATCTGTTTTGGCCTCAGTTTCTTCTTCTGTAAACTGAGGAAGTTTGACTGCATGCTTGCTAAAGTCACCCAGAGCACTGAGAGTCCGTGAATCTTGGGACCACATGGCTCTTTCTGGTCCTTTTGGGTCTGAACTTCGACAGGCTGAGTACATTAGGGCACCCCTGCTGGGGACTTGCCAGTTCTCTGGGATTCTACCCAATAAACCTCAGGACAGAGGCAAAGACTTGAGGCCAAACATTCTGGCTGTGCAAATTTTTACCACAAACTGCTGAAACCAGGATGGAAGGAGAGGTATGTATGGTCAACAACCAAATTCCTGCTCCGCTTTACCCAGTGAGATCAGTCACCTGTCCATACCTACGGTGGGCCCAGCGGTACAAGGTCACTGCTCAAAGAGTCTGTGGCTGCCTGGCTCCCGAGCCCTCCACAGCCTGGGCCCCTGGTTCTGCCTGGACAAGAAAGCTCACCTTGCTATAGGTTGTGCAGGTCTCAGTCTGGCAATCAGCACTTTCTGAGAAAAGAACACAAATAGGCCATGGGGAAGCAGCTCAAGTAAGGGGCTGTTTTTCAAGTTAGTTTCCAGCAGCCTGGTGGAGGAGACCTGGAGTCAGCCTTGCCCCTTCTTAGCTGTGGGGCACTGGCCAAATCCATCTTCTCCTAGATGATCTTTTAAGGTTCATTCCAGCTATAAAGTCAGTGGCATCTAGGAGCCTAGGACACAGCTAAGAAATACGGCGGCAAACAAAATTATTTAGAGAGCTATTAACTGTTTATAAATAGAAAAAAAAAGCATCTTTTCCCTTAGCAAGTCCATGCTTAGTCCTTCCCCAGTCCTGGCCAGCTGTGAAGATCCTTTACAGGTGGCTGCTGGGAGACTCTTGGACAGAAGACCCCATTTCTCCTAACCCATGCCAAAGCAGGGGAGATGGGTGGGAGGTGGGAGATAAGGCTCCAGTGGAGAGGCAAGGGTCTGGTCCCTACGTATACTTCTTCCTTTTTCAAAGGCCTAGGGACAACTCTCTACAGGGAAGGGCTCAGAGCCTCAGTGGAAACAGAATATAACTCATTTCCTCATCACAGGGGACCACTTGGAAGTAAAAGGACAGAAGGCTATCTGGAATGGGCAGGGCTGAGTGATTATACGGAGGTGGTAAGGAATGAGGTTGGGGAGAGAAGTTCAATTAATTAAGCACAAGAGGAATGGTGACTATTGTGTCAAAAGTAGGGTGGAAGCCACACAGTGATGGAGTCACAGTAAAAAAGCCCAATGTTAATTAACTGTCCCTGGCAGCGACGACAGAACCCTTCCCCTGAGCAGCTACCATGGTAGTTCTGGCTTTCCCTGAGCCCTGGCACAGGAGTCTAAGACAGCCTCGGGCCTGTCTTGCCAGCTTCCTCTGTGTTCAAGTCCTGGTTCTACTTACTAGTCAAGTTAAGTCAAGGCAAGTCACCCCCTTCACTAAACCTCAGTTTTCTCATCTGACAAATGGAGATAAGCCTTGCATCCCTTTCCTTAATTCATTCTATAACATGCATCTCTGCTGTTGTGGGGCACCAGGGAGAGTTGTCAAGGCCACAGCAATTTGTCCCAGGAACGGTGCTGAAAGGGCTATTCTGTCATGTTCCTTCCTTCCAAGACCCCTGCGCCTCACCAAGGGAAGAGGGGAGGGGTTCCTGTTTGCTGCTGACAGTGAGATGCTGCTTACCTCTCTTGATGGTGAGAGGGATCTTGAACTCACAGCGGTGATAGCTGGAGAGAGAAGGCACACAGAGTGAGGAGATAGCTCAGAGTATCTGAGTCCTGGCCTTCTTACCACCAGCACATTGTTTTTTAAAATTAAATTTTATTTATTTTTCAAGCATTTTTTCCCCTTCCTCCCATTTCCCCTCAACCTTTAAACTGGCAAGAAAGGAAGAAAAACAAAACTCTTGTTACAAACAAGCAGAGTCAAGCCAAGACGTCCATAAATACCTGCCTCATTCAGCATATTGGTCAGGAGGCGGCAGCACTCTTCACTAGCCCTCTAGAATCATGGGTGCTTATGTCAATTAGAGCTCTTAGTTCTTTCAAAATTGTTCCTTTAAAAAATATTGATGCTGTCCTCCTGGTTCTGCTTACCAGCAGCACCATACTATCATGAAGCTTCCCTGGTGCTTAACCCAGGGTCCAGCACGTGCCCATCAAGAAACACTATGTCACGCTACTGGGAAATAAGAAATACAGGAGATGGGGTACACAAGTCTGTCCTGCCCTACAGGAAAATAGAAGGGGAAGGGGATAAGAAAAGGGGAGAGAGAGAGAAGAGAGGGCAGACTAGGGGAAGGGATATTCAGAAGGCATGCCATCTTGGGGTGAGGGGAGGGGGGAGATGGGGTGAAAATTTGGAATTCAAAAACTTGTGGGAGTGAATGTTGAAAACTAAAAATAAATAAATTTATATTAAAAAAAAAAAAGAAACACTATATCAACCTACCCCTCAAAGATCAATGATGCTGTTAAAGTCAAGTGGAAACCTGGAAACCCTTACAATAAAACAGGGCTATACCTGCTCATACCAGCAGCCCCAGCTACTATGGCAACTGGTAGAGATTTTTTAGTTCAAGCGGAAGGGAAAGCAGGCAAGGCCCAGGAGGTGCATACATCGCCTACACCAGGGGCCTCACGTAGCGGAACAAGCACTAGACGATAAATCAGTAGACCTGAGCAACCCAGCACATCGCTGAGGCTTCCTCAGTCCCGCCTACCAGTCTGCGAGGGCACCGCCCTGAGGGAAAACGCTGAAAACTTACACACCTTATTAAATGGCTACGAATGCAGGCGTTAAATCTGAGTCATAAAAAAAAGAAAAGAAAAACTGGGGGAAAAAGTGAATTTAGTTTTTAAAGTGTCCCCAGAGCATTTAAATATCCACCAGCAAGTCAAGAAATAAAGCAGAATAAAACTGATATTGCTTTCTATGTTCTAAATACAAGGCAGCAGCTAGGACACAGGAGCCTAAAGCATTCATTACCTCAGAGGCCTGGAGGGCGGTGGCAGAGGAAAATTCATTTCCTCCACTCTTTTATCTCCATGATGCTAGTAGTAGACTTTTGGGGAGCCAGACAGGGAGTGAAGTTTAGTGGCCAAGACTTTAATCGAGAAAACTGGTGCACATAAGGGGGAAAGTGTCTTGGCTTTAGGGTCGACCTAGAGCCTGCCACTAATTCTTCCTCTAAAGTCAGGCTGCCAGGACCAGTGGTATCGACAGCTTTTGGAAAAAATTTCCCTTCCATTGCCCCCCACCCCCCACCCCAATCTAGTCGCAGTAAAGCCTGGAGAAAGTGTGCTCACAGAGCTTCCGGTCAGCTGCTGCCCAGGTTCTGGTTCTTGTGCCTGGTTCACTGGTCCCTGGGGACTTCTAGCCTTGCCCAGGAATCAGGGTTTCACATGGATTTCTCAAAGTCAAAAAGTAAAACCCAGATGGCCTGCTTTCCGGCATAGACAAGGTTAGTGTGTCATTCCAAAAAAACTGTCCTAACAGGGTACAGTCATACTCACATGTTGAAGTTATAATGTCCAGGGTAATTGGTGTGCAGGACAAACTTCTTCACTTTGTGTGTATTCGCATCAAAGAGAATATCCTACAGAAAAAACAGAGGCTTGAAACAAGAAGGGAAGTTAACTTGTGAATAAGAGACCTAGTTAGGTCACAAACATAGCTGGATTTGGGTGAATTACTTGGTTGTAGTGAACAGTCAGGAAGATCTGAATTCAAATCTGGCATCAGACATTCTACCAGTCGTGTAGCCCTGGCAAGTCACCACCTTGCTGCATCAGTTTCTCCATACGTGTAATGGGGACACCTACCTCCCAGGGTTGCTGGTGAGGATCAAACGAAATAATAACGTGCCTTCCAAACCTTCAAGAGCTACATAAATGCCAGCAATTGTTCTCGTCTCCATTCTCACTACTACTGCGTGTAGTTTATGCTCTTACTTCTCTGTGGTGGAATAAGAGAAGTCCAAGTGAGATCTAGACTGAGAGCTTGGAATCAGGGCCTATCTCATCAGTGCTGAGAACATGGTCCTGAGCACGGTGGGCACTGCGATGTCCCTGAAAGTCTGACGCTTGTGAGGAGGTCAAGAACTGCTAGATGTTACTATGTTACTTTTCCCCCAGACTCAGGTCTGGGGCTGCTTCAGTTAGACCCACGGCAAAGAGAGGCTAGGGAAGCGAGGCTTCTCTGGTCCACACTACCCTCACAGGCAGGCCGTCTGACTACATACAAAGCAAACTCCATAGTCAAGGCTGGAGTCTGACATTTGTGATGGTTTTACTGAGTGACCGAAAGCTGCTCCTGGGCCGCGTCCCCCTCCTCCAATGCTTTGCTTCAAGGCGGAGCCTCGGAGGCTCTGCCAACCAAGCACAAACCCTGAAGGTCCCACCACGGTGAAAAGCCTTCCAGGGTGAGCCCATGACAAAACGCACGTCCTTGGGTTAGGTCTGGCGAAGTGCTGCCAGGTGATGATGTACCAAGATGTGGAGGCACTGCGATGTGCACTGGTGCAAAATGCGGCCATACAAAATAGTCTGAAGAATCGTGACTTACCACCCCAAGTGTGAAATAGTTGAAGAAGTAGTCATTACACTTTGATGGAACTTGCTTATGAGGAGAAGGAGAATGAATTTTCATCTGTTACAAAACAAAACAAAAAGTTCGGGACAGGTACTTAAGTTAATGGAATAAAGTAAAATCTTTGAAATTGCATTTATAAAAAAGTGTCCTAAAAGCCTGTTGTGCCTGGGATCTAAATTCTACTGCTGCAATGCTGAATGATGGAATCTGAGGGACTCAAGGCGGCCTGACTGAGAAGAAAGGTGAGTCTGCTACCATCGACAAGGTGCCTTGGAAGGAGGGAGGACTGAGCAGCAAGCAAAAAAAGGCTCCTCAAACTCGGGAAGTACAACCAAAGAAAAGAAGGCAGTACATACAACACAGAACCTGAGACTCTCAGGAAGACTTTTAATTTGTGCCAGTGACATGGAATCGTACCCATGAAGTTCCCACTAGTTACTAATATAACAATTTAAAACCTATACCAAATGATTGAAATCTGCTTCACTTCACCATTTTTTCCTACCTTGTCCTCTGACTTGTAAAAAACCTTGTGTGGAGAGCCCAACGTACTGAGAACATCTTGGCACGAATCTCCAAAGTACACTGAGCGTTCAAATCCTCGCATCTTAGCATCAGCTAATACTCCTGGGCCACAACCTATGGAAGACCAAGGAAAGCACTGAGACTTCTGTCAGGATTATGACCTGTTGTGTCTCGCCCTTAATAGTTTTGGGTGTAGGGAGAGAGGAGAACAGGTGAGGCAGGGCAGAGCTGGGGACAGGGGATGGGCAACAGCCCTACTCGGGGTAACTTCAGTACAGCACCGTTTAGGGTTTTTGCTCCTGCAACAAATCACCGATGCGTAGTGAGGACTAGTAGTAAGTAGGGGCCAAGGTAATAATGGATTTACAATCTCATGAATGTGGCCACTCCCTCCAAGAGCACAGATCACAATCCAGCCCTTCCTTGTCCTCCTTTGTAACTCTACTTCTTCTTTCAACTCTCCATGGGACCCCTTTAATGTACCAGTTGTATGCTGCTTGTACTGTATAACAGTCCAGTTCACCTCCTCTTCTGATCACAAATACGTGACACTGCTTTCCAGCACAAGACTGTAATATACTGAAGCCTCCTCATGCCCACCAGAACCTCTCCGATACACTCTGAGGGACCTTCAACTTTAACTCTTTAGGGCCTGAAATTCCATGATTTGTGGCTATATAACACCACCTCAATGCTACTGACATTTAAAAGATGGGTCTCTTTGTGGTAGCTAAGAACTGGAAAAGGGGGTGCCTACTGACTGGGGAATGACTGAAGAAATTATGGTGTGTGAATGTAATGAAGTATTATTGTGTAGTAAGAAATGATGACTTTAGGGGCAGCTAGGTAGCGTAGTGGATAGAGCACTGGCCCTGGAGTCAGGAGGACCTGAGTTCAAATTCAGCCTCAGACACATGATACTCACCAGCTGTGTGACTCTTGGCAAGTTACTTAACCCCGATTGCCTCACCAATAAATACATACACAAATAAAGAAATAATTAAAAAAATTTTTTTTAAAGTACAAAAATATTTATAGCAGCTCTTTCTGTGGTGGCAAAGAATTGGAAATTGAGAGGACGCCCATCAACTGGGGAATGGCTGAACAAACTGTGGTATGTGAATGTAATGGAATACTATTGTGCTATAAGAAATGATGAGCAGGCAAACTTTAGAAAAACCTGGAAAGACTTGTATGGAAAGATGCTGAGTGAAGTAAGCAGAACCAGGAGAACACTGTGCACAGTAACAGCCATATTGTGCAATGACTAACTTTGACAGACTTAACCCTTCTCAGCAATGCAAGGATCTGAGACATCTCCAAAAGTCTCATGATGGAAAATGCTATCCACATCCAGAGAAAGAACCATGGAGTTTGAATGCACATCGAAGCATACTATTTGCTATTTTTTTTCTTCTGTTTTGTTTTGTTTCCTCTTTCTGGTGGTTCCTCCTATTAGTTCTAATACTTCCTTACAACATGACTAATGTGAAAATATGTTTAATAGAAAGTATATGTAGAGCCTATATCAGATTGCATGCCATCCTGAAGAGGGAGGGGGAGAAAAATTTAAAACTCAAAAGCTTATGGAAGTGATTGTTGATAAATCAAAATAAACAAAAAAAATTTTAAAAAAAGATGACTTTAGACAACCACAGAAAGATTTGAATGAACTGATACAGACTGAAAAAAGAAGAACCAAGAAACTGAAATGTACAATGACACTAACAATGTAAATGAAATTTTGTTCACTAGTAAGCTGAACTCAGTAAAGAAGTTCCCAGACAAGAGAGTGAAACAAATCTTGCTTCCTAGCAGAGAGAAAAGGACTAAGATAAAATATGGTGAACACTGTTAGAAGTAGCCAACAGATATTTCTGTTTAATTTTTCAGTCACAAGGTAGGATTAAATCTGGAGGCAGGGGAGGTCCCCTTTTTCTCCCATCAACGACTGTGAAGTAAAGAAAAGGCAACAAAATAGAACATACTTTAAAAAAAAAGAAGTTGGGCCTTTGTTTCAGGGAGAAGCCTGGGGTGCACAATTTCCCCAACATAACCTGGTCTGCTCTCTTTCTTCTATTTAAATTCTGGGCTCTGGCCTTTGTCTATGTGTCCAAGATAAAAGTACACATGAAGCATGGGTGGTCCATTCAACTGCAGATCAGTCTGGGCAGTTCGCATTTTTTATCCACTTGGTTTTTTCTCTGTGGAAAATTAGGCCGAACTCTTGAATAATACGAATCTCATTTAGGTTGTTCTGCAGTACTAGGGTGCTTAAACAATAAATAAAATGATATCCACAACCACAAGCATCACCATCTACTGGGAATCTCTCTGTGCTGGATGTCCTCCATTTACAATGGCTGTTTCTCCCTGTTTTTATGCCTTGATTTCTGGTAGTTCGAGTCACAGACTCAAAGTTCTCTACTGTTACATTTTTCTTTTCTTTTTTTTGCTAGGCAATGGGGTTAAGTGACTTGCCCAGGGTCTCACAGCTAGTAAATGTCAAGTGTCTGAGGCTGGATTTGAACTCATGACTTCAGGGCCAGTGCTCTATCCACTGCACCACCTAGCTGCCCCTACTGTTACATTTTTCAAGGTATTTTCAACACATGCATAGCAAATACCTTATTGGAGGATGGCCCTGAAGGAGGAATTTTGCTCAAACAATAAGTACAGTGGGATCTTGTTTTCTCTGTACCTGTCAGTTAACTGTATGATACAATATCTGTGGTGGAATATCATTTGTGAAGGTCTGCGTTTTTCTTCTACAACTTTCAACAAGGATACCCTCAATTCACATAAAGATTATTCTCAGAAACATTTGTAGAGATGGAAAAGTAGGCATGGAAGTTGGCCATTACTGATTTTTTATTGGTCACCTTTTTTGGATAATAAGGTATCTTTTCTTTCCGGTATTTTGAAAGCTAATTCTTTAACACTGTCAGAATGGCATCACTTCTAGCACAGACCTCTGGCCAGCTGCTTTGCTTCAAGCAAAATTTCTACTTCCTCACACAGCATACTGGGGCCTGTGACATCAAGTCTAAATGTGGGAATTAATGATGGTGATGGTGAAAAGAGTTTGTCACAGAAATCTCGACAGATCCTTTCTGTTTCTGTCTGTTGTTCTAATTTCATCCTGCTGTGGAATAAGATGCTCTAAGGGTGACCTGGCTTTATTAGGTCAGAGAGCAAGCTTTTTGTAAACTTTTCTTCCTTCCACTGCTTCTTAATGTTTGCTTCTGTAAGGTTTTACAAATGAGTCTGAAAAACTGGGTTTACTGTGGGCTGCCTAGTCTCCCCTGCTTGTTGGGGAGTTTCTGGACTCCTAAGTTTCTTTTTGCTAACTGATTTATGTTACTAAACTTTCTGAGAAATTTCTAGTAGTCTATACTGATTTCAGCTCTCACTCTTCCATGTCAGCTGCTTGATTAAGGTCAGGCCGGAGCTGCCTCCACCAAACAGTCTCTTCTTTTAATTTTTTTTACTCTACTTTGGTATTGATTCTGATCTTTGCTCTAACAAATGACTTTATACAGACAGATAATTTGAAAATGACTCTCATGTTAGCTACAATTTTTTTTCTAATAGAATTTTATATAGATAGAAAGCTTCAGTATACTTTACAAGCCTTTAGCAGGTCTTACTTCTTAAACCTGATCCATGTTTTTCAACATTTTTTTTTGCCAGCCTCCTTTTCAAGAATATGCATTCAAGTCACTGAATGGTTTAAAAAAAAAAGAGGTGGAGGGAGTCATTTTAATTTTATTTTGGATATTAACTGTGCTTTCATTAATGAGAAATAGGGTACTATTGAATTCCAGTGAGGAAGCTCCCTTTATCAATGCAGATCAGCAAATGAAGCATTGAGAAGCTGAATGAATTGCCCAGGTCTGTACACATAGTATGTGTCAGAAGTAAGACCTGAACTCTCTTATTCCCTATGCCAAGGTTCTTCTCATTAAAAACATAGTGAACATCTAAGATGCAAGACTCCCCCAGAACCCCAATACCTATTCAGCAAATTACCCTGCCACCCCAAACAAAAGGTCAGCCAGCAGCTCCTGGGTGATAGGAAAAGATAAAGTCAGAACAGAAGAGACAAACAAGTCAGCCATCTCCCAGTGTGACGAGAAACAACTCAGAGACACATGTAGCCTGCAAGGCTCTGCATCCAGGGACAGCAAGAGTAAAGGGTTCCCCTAAGGGGCACTCTCATCTAAGGTGGGGACCCTGGAAGCCCTGGGGAGTGCAGCAATGAGAGCAGCAAGGCAGTCCTCAGAGTGCTTGGATAGGGACAGACCAAGCCTCAGGGCTCTGAAGAACCAAATACTTTGCACAAGGATGACACGAAGGATTCTGAAGACCCAGTGCTGTGAACTTCAAAGATCCAGAAAGGCCTAACTCCAGGAGGTAGAAGTAGGCACAGGAAGCCAGAGGGTGGGGAGGTGGGGGTGGGCAGAGCCAACTACCCCACCCAAAAGTATATCAGTACTGTGCCAAAGCACAGTCCTAGCACAAAGCATCAACTCAGCAGCTAAAGCTAGAGAGAGAAGTAAACCTAAGAAAACACTGACATAAAAAAATTACCGTACATCTAGAGATCCCTCCAAAGGAGAGAGCAGCTCCACAAAGACTTCAAAAAGTGACTCCAATAAGTCACTTTTCCTTAGAGACATGAATATCTAGAAGATATGAAATAAGACATAAAAATGAAATTAGGGTCTGGAGTAAAGAACAGGAAGGAGAAAGAATAGCTTGGAAGAAAAAGTGATAAACCTCACACAAGTAACAGACTCCCTGAAAATTAGAACAGACAAAACTGAAGTCAGTGACTCCAAGAAATATTAAAGTAAACTCAAAAGATCAAAAAAAAGTAAGAAAATGTAAGATATCTGATAAACAAAATACAACCAGGAACAAACAAAAAACTGACCTCGAAAACAGGTCAAGGAAAGATAATCTAAGAATCAACAGACTCTCTGAAAACCATGATAAAAAAAGGCTAAATACTATATTTTGAAAAATCATACTGAGAATTGTTCAGATCTATTAGAATCTATTAAAATCAGGCAGCAAAGTGATGATAGCAAGAAGCTATTTATAATTTT